GCCCTTGAGATTCTCATCATCGAGCTGCACTTCATGTCCTTCGTTATCTGAAAGGCTCTCCGGGTCATGGACTATTTTATTCCTCCCAGAGTGATCTCAAGCTCTTTGCATAGTCCGACTCTGATTGGGCCAGTTGCCCTACCACTCGTCATTCCATGACTGGTTTCTTTGTTACTCTTGGCACTAGCCCCATCTCTTGGCGTACAAAGAAACAGACTGTTGTTTCCCGCTCCTTTGCGGAAGCTGCGTACCGTGCTATGGCAATGGCCACCTGTGAACTTGTTTCGCTCAAATCTGTTTTGCGTGATCTTGCTGTTGTCCATCCGGAACATATATTGCTCTATTGTGATAATGAAGCCGCTCTTCACATCACTCGCAATCCTGTCTTCCATGAGCGCACCAAGCCCATTGAGATAGATTGCCATTTTGTTCGTGAAAAATACCTATCTGGGCTCATTCTTCCTACACACGTATCTAGCAAACTTCAACTGGTAAACATCTTCACAAAGGCTCTTGGAAAGGACCTTTTTCAGCATTTCACTCGCAAGTTGGGCATTACAGACCTTCATGCTCCAACTTGAGGGAGAGTATTAGCTATGATAAAGGAGTTCATCTATAATTATGCAATCTATTTCCCTTTACAGAATATTTTGCCCAAACATAATTGTATTTCCTTAGATATCATATTCTTGGTGTATTATATATACACCAATGTACCGTATATCAAATCAATGAAAATTGCTTCATTCATATGAAACTTAACATAATTTATATTTACAATTTTAAATGAGTTGCTAAACTTTCAGTGTCACAATTATGTCACTTATACTTTTGTTTCAATCAAGTCACTAAATGTAACCATGAAAAAATTTAGGATCACTTTATCCCTCAAAGGCTCTAACAAAAGTTTCTCTCTGTTTCAAGATCCGTAAAATCTCTCCGAATTTTTAACTTCGACACTTTGTGATAACTTGGGTTTTAGGTACTGAATGTTAGGAGTCTCCTAAGTGAAATGAGTGAAAATATGCTTGTATTTTTTTGAGTTTATGGATTTTCAATTGAGAATTTTGTGCACATGTAAATCAGGACAGAAAATACACTAAACTAGAATGAAACATAGGTTATTTCATAGCTAGATCTCGATTCGGTTAAATGATAATTCATTTTCTTTATTTTTTTTCGTGAGTTTCGTGATCCAAAATATTATTTAATCAATCAAAAAATTTAAATGCGAATTAAACTCACATTATAATTTATATTGATTGGTCCAACCACCAAATCCAATTTAGGTCATGATAAAGAGTCACATGGTGCCCTCGTGAACCATCGAACCCAAAGTAGGGGACCATTCTTTAATTGTTATCCGATTGGGTTGACATTTCATAATCCTCCGACATTTCATTATGGGTTTTCCAGTTGTCTATTTGGGATGCTGAAAAAAAAAAAAAATTTTAAAAAAAACAAAAAATTGCAATTTGTTTTTTTTTTTAACAAAATATCTGAAAATGTAGAATCAATAACTCGTTGATTCTCAACTTTAGTAACCGAGCATTTGACTGATTATTTAAAAAACTTTCAACTACATATTTTTTTTGATTTAAAACCGCCAACAATGAACACTAGTTCTTGCTCTTAACGAAATAGTCTAATATTGAAACTATAAATTACCTCTTAAAATTAACAAAACATCCTAATTTTATTAAAATAAGAAAAGAATTTAAATCAGGATCGGGACCTTCACATCCCCAACTGCTATTTCAAATTTCATTGATTTAGAATCGCCAACAATGAAGTTGTTTTTGAACTTTAAATAAATGTAACATTGAAGAAGTGAAAATATTTTAATATATACAATCGTATATTCATAGAAAATAAAATTTCATTTGTTGTTGTTAATAATAAAAATAGGGGCTATTTTATTGAATAATTGTCAACACAAATGGATTTAGGAAAATACTTTCATTAGAAACTATTTTAGTCCCAACACTAATTATTTTCTATGAGTACTCACAGAAAGCTCTATGTACACCTATAATTACTAATTACTAAAGTCTTTCTAATTAGAAAATCAAAACGACTTCAAAGATTATCTATCTCCTGTAAAATTCAATGTTACCTGAAAATCCATATAATTAAACTAGCAAAATTAGGAAATTTTTGTCACCTTCCAGGTGCAATGTTATGTTTTACGACAAGTCATATCAACAGTTGGTAAAATTTGACGTCAAGAAAAATTATCACTACTATCTTTGATTAAAGATTTTGAAAACATTCTTGCATACTTACTATTTATGGTACTATACCAAATCTAAGCATATTTTAAAAAAAATAAAAAAAAAATTGTGTTATTGTTTTTACTAATGTTGTATCCAAATCTAAGCATATAACAAAAAAAAAAAAAAAAAAAATTTGTTTTTTTTTTTTACAAATGTTTTATCAAAATCAAAGCATAAAAAAAAAAAAAAAAAAAAAATTGTGTTATTGTTTTTACTAATGTTGTATCCACTCGTCCAACAAAGTTGTGGGTCTACTGCCCCCCGGGGCACTTTTCCACTGGCAAAGGACGGGCTCTTTCAATGCTGGCAGATCAGAGGTCGTGAGTTCGATTCATGGGGTTCTTGGAAGGCAAGGATTTATTCTTGGAAGGCAAGAGAACTCTTGGAAGGCAAGGATTATTCTTGGAAGGCAAGGTGCAACTTGGATTGGCTTGCTAGGCACTTTGGCAGATCAAGTTGGGGAGGGCTCGGACCCTGGCTAGTTGGAGGCACATCCCGCGATTAACTGAACTGTGTGAAGAGGGGCCGGATCACAGACCCAAGGATTAGTCATGAATTGGACACCTTGTAAAAAAAAAAAAAAAAAAATGGTTGTGGGTCTACCAATCTTTTGCATTTAATTTCCATGAAATGGTCGGTTGTATAGTTGTTTGCCACTTCCCATATGTTACATACACACACACATGCAGAGGTATTTGATTTTGCATTTTTATGTGATCTTCAGGCGCTGAATTATAGTGATGACCACACACTAGGCAAAGCCATGTGCATCTTTTCTAATCACCAAAAAGTTATATAGGTAGATGATTTATGGGGAAAAAATAAAATTTCTCAGTTCATTTTACAAGTTATTTGTACCTATAGTTCGCATTACTTCCTTTAAATTAAAGGTAAAGATGTTCTGGTTGATCTCAATTTTTGATTGGGTAATGTGGCTGACAAATTCTGGCTTACTCACGTCCACATGTAAGGCTCCTGCACACTTAAACAAACTGCTAGACAGACGGCAGACGCAACCTTCTCCAAAAGTCAACATGTTTGATCGGACATATTTGATATACTTGATCTTATATCGTTTAACAAATTTCATTGAGCATTATTAACTATAGATGTTCTTAAAGTTTGAATTGTAAGAGATCACGCATATTGTGCTTGCATAACAAATTCATTTTTTGATAAAAAGTTTTATACACGTACAATTTGATAAATGAAGTTATGGTGAAATTTGAAGTCATGTTGCTAGCTCTAATACCTTCTTATCACCATATTTAAAAGTTTAAACGACTAGAAAATTATTGTATGCCTTCATTTAATCGTATCTTCAACAAGCACGTACAATAAGTATTTTCTAGTATCGAGAGCAACAAGATGAGAGAATTTTTCGTTTCAATTGCCTTATCTTCTAACACCAATTTTGGAAAAATAGTAATAGAGGTCCCTAACCTTTGAAACGTGTTGCACTTCAGTCCCCAACCTTTAAAATGCTTATCAAGGTTAACATATATATATACACATTTATAACGGTTTTCATTCGTCTTTAAAAAACTTATGACAGTTTTAAACCGTTATTTAGGCGGGCTTACTTGATATGAAAATGCACTGAGATTATGAACCATTCTAATGAAATATATGATAGGCTTCCAAGATTTACTAGGATTTTTCATATGCTTATACTTTTAGGTTGCTTTTGGCCATCGATTTAGCCTATACTAAAAATTTAGTATAAAATTATAATAAATGTTACTAGTTGAGGATTAAGATAGTTTAATATTTCTTCGATTTTTAATTCAAAATAATGTTATCTACTACATCATTTCTTATTTGTCCCAAACTCACATCCAACTTCCACATTATTGTACATGGTTGATAGTACTATTCCTATAATTTCATACTAGGATTTCGATAAGCCTAATTTGATGCAACAAACATGGCCTTAGATTTTTAAAAAACAATTAAGACCATAAAAATAAGCTGTGACGTGAGATTTTGCCACCCATGCAGAATGATTGGCCCCTTTTTGAATTCAAGCCATCAGTTACATTCATACCTAGTTGATTTAGACATTGATGGGTTTATTGGTACAATGAATTAAATTCGACAAGATAACTGATAAATTTTGAAATGTATTGCTCTTATAATTCAATAAGTTTACAATGGATGATCGTTACTTACAATGGTGGAGTCACATTAGGTCATTTCAATTCCATTTTTTTTTAATTACTCCACGGATTTTCCCTCAAAGGCTCGAATCACGAATTAATTTCACATTCCTCCCTAATATCTTCTAGGACTTTGCTAATGCCACCAAAATCTAACATTTTCCCATTCGTTGACATTGGCATCAGCATCAACCACAAATTTTCAACCATCAGAGTCGAGGTCACATCTCTTCTACCCACGACTTTTGCAAGCATAGAGTCACTGCCAACCTGACTATTTTTGACACAGATAAAAGAATTATATGATTTTTTCAAAGTAAAGTATTGAAATATTTTATTGCTATTACGTAGTTTAAAAAATATATATATTAACTCTGCAGACTGATACATGAAATTTCTTTCTGTTTTCGATTTCATCAGAAAAATTTTATGACGTAATAAAATCTAACCTGAGCACGTGCGAGACAGCAACTGGCGGGATTTGCAAAATACTAAGAAGAGATATATATTACAGTTTGAAACAGTAGAAACTACTCGTAGTTATGGCTATCGTAAGAGCTGTCACAGCACAACACGGGCGGCTTCAAAAAACGACAAATCCCTTCATTAATTTCAACAGCTCAAGTGTCCAAAACCCCCCAAAACCACCTCTGTCTAACTCACATGGCCCGTGTCCACCACCCCCACCTCACCCCTACTCCTCACCTCTCATTCTATATGCATACAGCTCAAAACTTCAAACGTATTAATCGAATTCAGCTTTTCTTCTCTGGCATATCGAGTCTCTTTATATTTCTTCGGTGGAGTAAAATGGTTTGCAGAAGAAGCGAAATTATGCATGGAAAGAAGAAGATGAGAGAAGGAAAAAGGGAAATGGGAGGTGGGTTGGTTCATAAGAAGGTGAAGAAGTTGCAGAAAATTATTCCTGGAGGACAAGGCTTGAAACCAGACAACCTTTTACTCAGGACAGCTGATTATATCTTGTTTTTGAGGTTGCAAATTAATATGTTGCAATGTCTTTCAAAGGTGTATACACCTTGACCATGCATTACTACTTACATTTTCCTATAAGGGTGATTATTATATTGTCTAATTAGTTCTATATCGAGACAATTCTCGTGAAACTCTTTTGTTTGATAGAAGTGAATTTTTATTCTCGTGGACCAAATGGCATTTTCTATTGATTTGTCTTCTCGACCGGATCTATTCTTTTCAAGTATTTTTTATTATGTTTCAATAAAATGGTGTTGATATTATTTGAGTTTACGAGCACTAAATATATAGTTACATTTATTGATGCATACATGTATATTTTCTTTCACTTTCATTATCTACAATGTACTTTATGACCTAAATTATGTTGAGATGGTTGTGGGCAGATAAGAATTGAGACTTTCAATGGTTCTCTCTTCTCTCCTCTTGATCGAAGCTGACCCCAAAAGTTGGATATTCCTTATTAAGACGATGCGAAACTCTTTCATTTTTGTAGAACTGAATTCTTATTCTCACAAAGTAAAAGGGATTTGCTATTGATATTTGACTTCTCGACTAGACCCATGTATGTTTGATTTTTAATCATCCATCGTTACACTATAGTAAAGCACTAAGTCTCTGTTTGATAAAGATTCTACGAAACTTATTCTTTTAAAATCCATTTTCAATCACACATTATTCAAGTAACTTTTTCTTATATTTTAACTATACGTTCTTCAAAAAAATCACGTTTCAACTTAAATTAGTCATATATAAACAAGATAGAAAAGGTGAAAAAAGAATAAGAGACTACAAAAATAACTTTTCTTTTATAAATTACAAAAATAACTTTTATAAGTCACAAAAAATAAGAGTACCTAGTCAACTTAGAAAAAAAACAAAACAAAAAAAAAAGTAGCATCGAAATCGATTTGTATGCCCAATCAAAGTTCTCTCCCAAGGTCTATAATTGCCTCAAGAGGTCCAATATATATATATATATATATACATATATATATATATATATATATATATATATTATTGGACCTTTTGAATAGTAGTCAAGAAGCTCATGAAAAATGAACATTTGTGTCTAGAAGATATAAAATAGACATTGGCCATTCTAGAAAAACATTTCGCAATTGATTTACCAAAAAAAGTTTCCAATCTATTGGATTTTTTTCGTCTTCTTTTTTCATTAAGATGAAAATAAATTTTGAATATTTAGTACTAATCATATATTTGAAAGAAATTCAAAATTAAATAGATGTATCTAGAGAGAATTCGCTTTCAAGCAACTATTCTCTAGATACACAAGTCGTGTTATTTCACAAATGAATAAAAACAAACCCTAAACTTAGGGACTTATCAATAGGTAATGGTACGCTAATACCCAACCAAAGAGTGGCTGCAGTTCCAATCAAAAAAATGATTGTCGCTATTGGACGATGAAATGAATTTTGGAATTTATTAGCATTCTCTAAAAAAAGGTGATGTTAATAATCCCGCAGATACTGAAACCGTTAAAAGAACACATATATAACTTTTCTTTTTATAAATTGCAAAAATAATGACAAATTAGTTTATACGATATTGAATTATTAGAAATAATGAGAAAAGAGGTTATCATTGCTCTAAAATGTAAGTTTATTAGAGTTTATTAGTGAATGACAATAATGCCCCGCAATCCTAGAAAATATTATCGTTGTATCCTTAATTCAACCCTATGAATTATAGGGGTTTGGTTTTTAATAAAATACACAAAAGTTTATTGATTTCTCTCTATTTTCTATTATTTTTTCTCTTTTCATAATAAGTTATTAGCACGATAGCTTAATTTTTCAAAGTTTAGTAAATTTAGTAATTTTTTTGTAAGTATAAATATTTATCATGTATACCAAAATTAATTTGGTGGCATGTGAATTCTTTTGATATACATATACATTTTGATGAGTATTTAGACATAACAAATTATAAAATTTCAGAAGAGTTTCGGGTGCCCGATATGTTGAAAATTAAGATATCTAAATAAGTTATGTCAATATGGAAAAAGAAATAGAATCGAATAGGAAAATAAAAAAATTGCCGACAACATTTTTACACCTGATGTACTGCATCATATTATAAATAGCGAAGAATCAAAATAAATGCGTCAAAATATATTGATCGAAGTAATGTTTGGCCAAATAAAATGGACACAATCCTAAATTGAATTTACTAGAAAAACATGAAATTTTTGAACTTGTAGTCCAAAAATCAGAAGGTATATACTTATACGAAAAGAAAATGAGAAAAATGAAGTCATAATGTGTAGTGCAGGACTTTCAACAAAGTGAATTTTGCAAAGATCGTCGTGGATGAAATAACAAGTCTATATCATATTATCTTGACGATACATGAGATTTAAAATTTGTGATAGTCAGCTCATCTAGCATGACTATTAATGTTATCTTTGAAAAATTTAGCTCTCGTTTGTTTCCCATTGTTTGCCCATTAAAATGAAAAATATGACCATTATCCATCACATCAAGTCACCATATTTGACTTTTCATTTCTTGTGTGGGGTCCGTAACGGTTATATTTTTCATTCTCATTTTTACATTAATGTGTATCAAACGGGGCCTTAATATGTTCGAAGCATAACTCAAAGATACATGCCTGAGAACCATTTTCTCATATGATTATATTGATTGAAATAATCCAAATGCATGTGGTATAATCGACTAAAAAAATAGTTGTTGAATGAATGCTATAGAAATGATGATATCTTCTCATATGTTTTTATAAAGAAAACAAATATTGGATTTGCAATTATGACAGTTTATGTTTATAATTTAAATTTAATTGAAACTCCTAAAGAGTTTAACAAAACTGCTGATTATTTAGAAAATAAACTTGAAATGAAAGATTTGGGAAAAAACAAATTTTGTCTCGGGTTGCAGATGAACATTTCGTAGAATAATTATTTGTTCATCAATCTATATATATATAAAAAAGTCTTAAAATATTTTTATAGATAATGCACATCTATTGGCATCACCTATGGTTGTTCGATCACTTAATGCAAAAATAAAAAATAAAAAAAAATTCATCCACTTGAAGATGGAGAAAATGTTCTTGGTCCTGAAGTATCATATTTTAATGCAATTGGAACACTAACTTATCTTGCAAATTGCACTCGATGTAACTTTTTTTGTAAAATTCCTTACTAAATATAACTCTACACCAACTCAAAGAAATTGGAATGATGTTAAACACATTTTTCGTTACCTAAACGGTACTACTGATTTGAGATTATTTTATTCTCAAAAGTTGAGATCCGCTTTAGTAGGATGTGCATATGCATGTTATCTCTCTGGCCCATATAAGCTAAATCACAAAAGGATATGTGTTTACACGTAGATGAACAATTATATTATGGAGATCTGTGAAGTAGTATTTGACAGCAACTTCCTCAAACCATTATGAAATTATTGTAATCCATGAAATAGACCGAGAATGTGTATGGTTGAGGACATGACCCATCATATCCAAGCATCATGCCGATTAACTCCAACAAAGGATTGTTCAACAATTCTGTATGAAGACAATACAGCTTGTATTGCAAAACTTAAAGGTGACAGGACAAAGCATATTTCTCCAAAATTCTTTCATACACATAAGTTTCAAATGACAATATAACCGATTTATTCACAAAATCACTACCAATATCTACATTCAAGAAATTGGTTCACAATATTGGAATGTACCGACTCAAAAATTTTCAGTGATCAACATCAAAATAAATGTACTCCTTTTCTTTCATTTGATTATTTTGTCCCATTGAATTTTTATCAAATAAAGTTTTAATGTAACAGATATCTTTATAAAACAAGATTTTAAAGGGGAGTGTTATAAAAGATAAGTTTATTAGTAAATGACAATAATACTCCTACAACCTTAGAAAATATTACCGTCGTATCCATGATTCTGCCTTATAAATATAGGAGCTTGGTTCTTAATAAAATACACAGAAATCTATTGACTTCTCTCTATTTTCTTCTATTTTTTCTCTTTTCATAATAACCATGAAAACCTTTATTTATTTTTGAAACAATATTTAACAAGGAGAAAACTTTGATTGAAATAAATGAATCCTAGAGTTTCATTGTGCCATTTTCTTCTTCACCAGCCATGCACAAGCTATTTTTTAAATATATAGAATCTATATTTTAATAAAAAAAAAATTAATGCTTTGTTTGAGCCACATTATTTGAAAAAAAAAAAAACATTCTTCAAAAGTGGTTTGATATTATTTCAACCCCCACATTCTTTAATAAAATAGTATTACACGCAAATTCAAAACATTTTCTTATTTATTAACCACATATTTTTTATTGATATACCATTCAAAAATACATTTTCATTCCAATAATGTGGCTTAAACAAGGGCTAATTTTCCTATTCAAGTCAACAAACTTGAGAAAGAACACATCCATGTGTAGGAGTGTAAAGAAAGTTGTCTAAAGCCCTAGCTTGAGATGGGCCAATGTGGAAGTGTTTTAGACTCATTAGTGCAAAGTCCAATGCAAAATGCAAAATTGGGCCAATTGGCATAATAGAGTTCGATGGAACCTTTCGAACATTTTCAACACTTCCACTTTTCTGGGTCAACATGGCATTAAATGATATGTCCAATTAATAAATTCATATTTTTTTGTTTAATTCGAGTTATTAGATAATGAGCACATCATATCATATTTTCAACACTTCCACATCATGTTGTCATATGGACCAGTACCAAACACTACGATCTGGGCAAGTATAAGGTCCCTAGAGCAGGGCTAGTACTCCCCGGCTCAAGGCATGAGTTAACCATGGCACATGTCGTGCCACTATCTCGACTTTTAACAACCATGTCTGAACCGTGTAGTAGCAGAACTAGCAATGAGATTGGCCTCTACAGGTCAGATTAGGATAAAATGGCTCACTTTTATGCACCTCTTAACAGGTGAGCGTTACAAAGACGAAAAATAAAATTCCATTTTGACGTACAAATAGCTTTAAATTAAACCATTATTTTTCTTTCATTTGCTTATATACCAATAAAAAGATGCATTCATTAATAGAGTAAACAAAAACATGAAAATAATGAAACATGATACTCAATGTCTTCTTTTAGCAACGTTAATTTCAATTTGAAAATTTTCATTTGTATTCATTTTGTCAAAGTCGAGTCATTAAACCAATTTATTATTTTCTTTTGACATATCAAATCTATCTAAATTTGTTAGGCTAATAAGTAAAATAAATGTCTCAGTAGTTGGCATGACATAAATGAATGAGTTAAATATAATTGATCAATTATACGATGCGAAAAAAATAGTAGAGTTTCAAATGTATATTTGCTTATCAAGTACATTTGACCCACCAAAGACTTTATTGGCCCAATTGACAGGGCTTTTGAACAATCAAAAGCTACTTTTGATATTAAAGAACTATTTTTGAATGTATTTGGATAATAATCTAGACAGAGGTGACCCTAACTATAGGCGAGGTAGGCGATCGCCTAAGACCCCATTTTGACGAGGGCCCCGAATTCTATAAAATTAATTAGCTAATAGAAAAAAAAAATGAAAATTATATTAATGAAATTATTTAAAAGAGAATTGTCATATGCAAATAAAAGATATTAATAAAAATTAAGAATACAAAAATCTTAAAAAAAATTTACAAATGACATAAAATTTATATTTATTCATCTTTCAAACATCATTTTTCTTTTTGTTAATCAAACAAAAAATCTTGGATTTTTTTTGTCTCTTCAAATTCCACTTCAACTGTCACCTACCATTATTTTTTTGTTAAACCCAACACAAAATAAATTTTCTCTTTCTTTGAAGTAAACTTTTGGAAGGATGAAAATAACAATTGGCAAACAAGTCTCTTGACTGTTCAGTTTTCTCACACTCAGTCGCTGGACTCACTGTCAGTCTGCCATGGCATTGCTTGACATGTTTTCTTCTCCAATTCCATTATCTTCAAAGAATCGGGTCCTATAATAGATCACATGACAATCCAAAGGTAGGCTATTATATTTAGTTTTATTATTTTTTTTTTTTTTGTTAGATTTGTTGAGTCTGTCAGACAATTGCTTGAGCTTGACCATCCCAGCCGAGTGAACCCAACTAAGAACGATATGACCGGAAAGTGGGTTTGAAAAATTATGATCGGGGACGAGCCACGAGCGGGAAGTTCGCAAGTTTGCATCTGTTTTTTTTGCCTCTTTTGCCGGTCAAATATTTAACCGCTATTTGGCCAATGATGCATAAAAAGACAAAAAAATAAAAAAAAATAAAAAAAATCTTTCACTGCTATTTGTTTTATTGTTTACAAACCAAAGGAAGGAGGACCGAAACCAAAAAACTGACATAGTGGATTAGTGGTTTATAGGTTGTTTGTGCAGCAGTAGCCTCAGTACCCCGTTCTCGATTTGAACATATTTAATTACGGTTTGTAGACTTGTAGTCCCCCATATTTAATTTAGCTTCTCATAAGTCATCATTATTATTGGTTTATAATCATATTAACATTCTTCAACTCAACATTATTTTGCAGTCAGCAATACTTTGATGCTCGTACAAGCAGTCAAGTACTTAGCAAAAATGGCGTGGAAAACCGAAAACTTGAAATAAATGGAGTTCTTATACTTCCTCTAAGTGAAAACCTCTCACCAGGTTTTATTGTTCCTCTACTAATTTAAAATTTAATCTTGTATTGATTTTGTGTTTTGTATTGCTTTAATATGTCTACTAGAAAGTATTTGTCTGGACATGAAAAAAGAAAAATAAAACTGAAGAATTTATTCGATCTCAAGTAGGAGCTATGGACAAGTTTTTTGGTAGTAATATTAATAATAAAAGAGAAAGTCTGATGAAAGATTTGGTTGTTGAGGAATTTGAAAATGAAAAGGTTCAAAGTGAAGATAATATGACCAAAGAGCAGGAAATTTTAGTGGATCATGAGCAAGAAAATATGGAGGAATTTGAAAAATGTGTACCGTTGCATTACAACATTAGTGATCCAGGGAATTGGAAAAATGTTGATCAAAACTTGATAGATTTGTTAGTGAAAAGAGGTCCACTTAGGGAGGATAGTTTTACTTTTTCGAAAGATTCAAAAAATAGACATTTCTCTTCTACATATTATATTCAACATTTGGCAAATGGTGAGAAGAGTGATAGAAAATGGTTGGTCTACTCAATTTCGTTGGATAAAGTATTTTGCTTTTGTTGTAAGTTGTTTAAGCAAGAAGGAAACAATATTCAATTAGCCAATGAAGGGATCAATGATTGGAAAAATCTTAGTTTTAGGCTTAAAAGTCATGAAACTAGTCATAACATGAGAAGATGGATTGAGTTAGAAAGGAGATTGCAACAGAATGTAACTATTGATAAAGCTGTGCAAGATCTAATCAAACAAAGATAGAGAACATTGGAGAGAAGTTTTTGTGAGGATAGTTTCTATTGTTAGCTTTTTATGTAAGAACAATCTAGCATTTCAGGGGACTAATGAGAAAATTTACGAAAAAGATAATGGGAATTTTTTAGGTTTAATTGAAATGATTGCAGAGTTCGATCCAATTTTGAGAGAACACATTCGTCGTATTCAAGAAAAAGAAATTCATTATCATTACCTTAGTCACAAAATTCAAAATGAATTCATATTCATGTTGGCTGGAGAAATCAAAACTGAAATTATTAAAAACGTTAGAGAAGCAAAATATTTTTCAATTATAATTGATTGTACACCAGATATGAGTCATGAAGAACAAATGTCTCTCATAATACGGTATGTAGATGTCATAGCAACTCCAGTGAAAGTACAAGAGTATTTTTTGGGATTCCTTAAGGTGGATGATACTTCGGGGCAAGGACTATTTGTTGAATTATTAGATATTTTGAAAAAACTTGAACTGAATATTGGGGATCTAAGAGGACAGGGTTATGATAATGGTTCTAACATGAAAGGGAAGCATAAAGGTTTACAAAAAAAAGTATTAGAAATAAATCCAAGGGCATTTTACACACCATGTGGTTGTCATAGCCTTAATCTTGCACTTTGTGATATGGTAAATTCTTGTATAAAGGCTAAATCTTTTTTTGGAATTATACAATGCATATATATATTGTTTTCATCTTCTACGAAGCGATAGAAAATTTTTCAAGACAATGTGAAGGGTCTGACGCTTAAGCCACTATCACAAACACGTTAGGAAAGTCAAGTTGAAAGTGTTAAAGCAATAAGATTTCAAGCACTAGAAATAAACGCTGCTTTAAAACACTTGGTGGAAACATGTGATGCTCATAAGACATATAGAGATGCTCAAAGCTTACTTTTTGACATTATGGATTTTGAATTCTTGTTTGGCATGGTTACATGGTACAATACATAGTCTGCTATTAATAGAGTAAGCAAAATATTGTAAAGTGAAGACATGTCTATTGATGCTGCGATTAGTCACATGAAAGCACTTATTTCATTTTTTGAAGCATATGGAGAAACTGGATTTGAATCCAACAAAATTACTGCTAAAGAAATTGTTGATCAAATGGAAGTTGAACCCACATTTCATGAAAAACGTATTATTCATAGAAAGAAGCACTTCGATGAAAATGTTAATGATGAGATAACACATTCACCTGAAGAATCATTAAAAGTTGATTATTTCTTGTACATAGTTGATCAAGCTCTTTCTTCGCTTAAGTTAAGATTTGAACAATTTCAAAAATATGAAAATACTTTTGGGTTTTTGTTTGATTTAAAAAAATTGCAGAATGCAGATAATAGTTGTTTGAAAGTGTTGGTGTTATAAGCTTGAAGAATTTTTGAAACACGACATGGATTCTGACATTGATGGATCAGAGTTATTTTCTGAGCTACAAATTGTGAGAAATAGTTTGCCAGAAGAGACAAAAAAGGTGATTGAAGTGTTGGACTACATAAAAATGATGGATTGTTTTCCAAACGTATGGATTGCTTACAGAATATTATTGACTATACCAGTTACGGTTGCATCTGCGAAAAGGAGCTTCTCAAAGTTGAAATTGATAAAATCCTATCTTCGATCAACAATGTCACAAGAAAGATTGAATGGCTTGGCCATGGTATCTATTGAAAAAGAAGTTCTAAAACAAATTGATTGTAATAGTATAATTGCTGACTTTCTATTAAAAAATTCTAGAAGAGTAAATTTAATTTAGACATTTGGAAGTTTTAAATTATTGTTTTTGCAATTTTGAACACACACACACACACACACATATATATATATATATAGGGGCTTCATATTTGAAATTGGCATAAGGCCCCCAAAATATCAGGGCCGGCTCTGAATCTAGAAATATTAGTATCGAACTATCTAATTTAACGGCTTAAATGAACAAATAAATAAATATATATACATTCCTCGATAGCCAATAAGGTTCCTTTTTTCAGTTTCATTTTAAATTTCTAATAGGGTCTTAATTCAACTGATTAGGCTCCTTTAATGGGCTTGAGATTTTTTGCTTTTCTTGATTTTTTGACACGTTTTGTATATTGGAAGTAAATAAAAAGTAAAAGGTAAGAGAATTTATTCTTTGCTTTTACTTTTTATGTTCTCTTTTGCTTTACCTTTTTACTGGAACTCAGCCAGCTTTCATTCAAGAAAATGGAAGATCTTATCAATAAAAGAACCAGAAATCTAGAACTAAATCGGCGAATAAATAAACTAAGATATAATTTAGTTGTAGATAATTTATAAATAAACTAAGATATAATTTATTTATTTTTTAAATTCTTATATTGTCAATAAAAAACGTGAGATGACATGTTAAAACTAAAATATTAAATAGAATATAATTCTTTAATTTTACAAGCCAATTAAATTTAGGAATATCAACGAATCGAGCTAGCTCGCCAGCCAAAACTCGAGGCTCAAACTCAGCTCAAGTAAAATGGTGCGAGATTTTTTTAGACCAGAGCTGAGTCAAGCTTTTGCTCAACAAAAAATTCGAGTTGAGCCTGCTCACATTTTTTCCCATTAATAAAACATAGGCAACTGTGTAGTTACTTGCAACTTCATTTTTTTTCTAGTTTTTTTTTTATACGAGCCTACAAAGCCTTGAGGCTCGAGCTTTTTTTGAGTCGAGTCACGAGCAGCCCAAGTCAACGAATCAAATTGACATCCCTAATTGAAGGTGAATTATTTTCAATTACCCTATTTTAATGGTTAAGGCAAAATAACTCAATAATATAAAATTTTGTATAATTTTTTTACTAATTTTAATTCCAAAGAATAATTTTTTATTCCTAATAACCTTCTTCCTAGTCCCTACCCAGCTCATGCCTTACTTGCCCTTTCCCGATTTCACCATCTTCCTTGCTACTAGTGAGCAGTGGTAGACGTAAACATTTGGAGTTAGTGAAATACAATATAGCTTATACAGAAGTTACGAAAAATTTTATATATTCAATATCTTATCACAATTGTTCTCAACGCGTTTTCATACTTTGATAATGTTCCATAATTACATCATTTTCAATACTGTCAAATATATATTTCAACTAATAGAAACAATTATTTGCATTTTTGAATGAAATAACGGTATTAGTCACAGATATATTTTCCAATCCCCACACATATAATTTCTGAAACCAAAAACATAGGAAAATAACAATGAAACTTTCAAGAAATAGCAGTGACCAAGAATGAAATTACCAAAAGGCAGCAATAGTGGAAAACGCCCAGGCATATATGCCATAATTCCAATTTAAGAAGCTACAAACAAAACAGAAATAAGAAATTGAATCCCGATATAAAATTGCACAAAACAAGAAAAATCGCCTTACATGCTCAGGTGTATTGATGTCTAGTTTTGCTGTTTGTGGTCGTTGAATCGTCAACGGGGGAGTCGGGTTAGGAACGGTCAGTAAGGGTGGATGGACTTGCTGGGTTTTGCTTCAATGTTTGGAATTGGGAGCCGTCGAGCTGGGAAGCGGAATTGAATTGGGAGTGGAACGGTTTCTTGCGTTGAATTTCAATTTGGTAATGGCATTCTTTGGATTGGAATTTGGACGGTTTGGAATACTTTGAGTTGGAGCCAGAAGGAATTTTTGGTTAGGAACGGTGAGCAAGGGTGGATGGAATTGCTGGTTTTGCTTCAATGTTTGGAATTGGGAGCTGTCGAGCTGGGAAATGGAATTGAATTGGGAGTGGAACGGTTTCTTGCGTTGAATTTCAATTTGGTAATGGCATTCTTTGGATTGGAATTTGACGGTTTGGAGTACTTTGAATTGGAGCCAGAAGGAATTTTTTATCGCTCCATTTTCATCATTTTCTATTTTATATATATATATATATATATATATAATCCATTTTTGTCGGTGGGTCACATGACACACCGCGACCAAGTGTAAGTCCGCCAGTATCAATCATCTTAACTACAAATTCTGCATAATCTACTATTGTCTTTTAATTTAAAAGTTAGTAAAAGAAATTATTGTTTCAATTTCTCTAATTTGTTCCGTCTTTAAGAAACTTCTAATGGACTTTATGATCTAAGATGACCAAAACTATCTTTTCAATAAAAATTTAAAAAAAAAAAATTATATTTTCTTTTTCCTCTTTTTGCGACTTTGGACCTTGACCTTTGCCCCTAGATGAAAGCCTCAGGCAGCTACAAATCCTAAATGCTAGTTCTCAAGTGCACGCCCACACACTGAAATTTATGCCCCCTCGAAAAGAATTTCCCTTTCTTCCCTAACCCAGTAAAATTGCACGGTTCCCTAGGCTAAATCATCAAGTAAAACTGCTTATCATTTTTCACTACTTTGGCATAGCAGTGCAGAAGCTATGGCGAATGTTCAAACTATAAGGTACATTACTATTGACATTTAGACAGCTGTTTGTTGGGTTTCTCCATTTATGTCCAAGCATTTTTTTTGCACTAAGAATGATCTTGAAGCAATTCATGATCTTTGTGCATCACAAATATGCTTTAAGATTTGATTTTTTTCCAATTTATTAGTAGGGCTCTTTGAAACTACAAGAAGGAATCTGCCTATTGCTTGTGCACCTCAATTTATGAGCTGGATTTGTTCTCATAGCAAGCAAAAGAAATTGGGTTCTTGGGATTATTAACTTATGATTCCCTGTTTGATTCTGTCAAGTTGAGTAGATGGTGCTTTATTATGCAGCCTAAGTGCAAAAATGTCTTGGATTCAGTCAGCATTTGGAAGTAAAATCAGCCCAATAATCCTTTTCATTATAGTAATATTAGCTGCTATATTCTTCATCTCTGGTGCTGTCCACCTGCTTGTTAAATTTCTCATGAAGCAAAGAAATTCATCATCACAGTCTAATGCATACCCAGAGATGTCCACTTCTGGTGCTTTTCGAAGGGAGTTACAACACCTCTTCCATTTACATGATTCAGGTCTAGATCAAGCTTATATTGATGCACTCCCTGTTTTTCCATACAAGGATATTGTGGGCTCAAAAGAGCCATTTGATTGTGCGGTTTGTTTGTGTGAATTCTCAGAACAAGACAACTTGAGGCTTCTGCCCTTATGCAGCCATGCTTTTCACATTGATTGTATAGACACATGGTTACTCTCAAACTCAACATGTCCACTTTGTAGAGGGGTAATTTTGGAACCTGGGTTTTCTTTTGAGAACCCCATTTTCACCTTCAATGATTCAAAAGATGAAGATGGAAATTCAGGGAATTCAAGTTTTATTAGTGTATCTTGTGGTCCAAAGACAAATCAAGAAGATAGTCGCATTATTAGTGACAGAAGGGTTTTCTCAGTGAGACTTGGCAAATTCAAGAACACAAATTATAGTCAAGAATGTGAAAAAAGAGAAGTGGGAGAGACTAGCAACAGCAATATTGATGCTAGGAGGTGTTTCTCAATGGGTTCATTCCAATATGTGGTTGCTGATTCAGACCTGCAAGTGGCCCTGTGCCCTCCTGTGAAAGGGAAAGGAGGGGAAAGTGGGAATTTCACAACTGATGAGGATGCTTTTGATGGGAAGAAAATTAACACTAAAAGTAAAGGTGAAAGTTTTTCTGTTTCTAAGATATGGCTGTGGTCCAAGAAAGGTAAATTCCCCGGTTCCACAGGTACTCCTTGTACTGACTGTGAATTTGCCATGAGATGATTATGTTCAGATATACAACACGATGACAATTTAGTTATAGCAATTGTAGTACAAGTTCCTTTTTTTTTTCTTTTTTTTGTCTTCTACTTAGTTTTGTTCTTCAATTCTTAGAGCTAAAGGACTTCTTCTTTTATATGCAAATTGTTTTCTCTTTGAAGATCTTACAATAAATCGAATGGAGAGGAGTGGATGGAGAAATTGTCTATCAGACGAACCTTTTAAAGTTTTTTTTTGCCATATACTTTTGTTCATTTGTGGAAAGCCATTCGATTGTTAAAGGGCTTCTTTGTTTCTTTCTTTTTCCCCTTTTTTCTGTTGATGCTTTCAGTTTTGGATCTTTTGGTGGAAATAGCAATGAAGCGAACAAAGTGGAGAAATAAAATTTACTTAGCCAAAGTGCAAATTTACAAGAAACAAGACTTAATTTGTCATTTCTATTAGAACAATGCTACAAGTACAGCTATCTTCGTGTAATTGGCTATTGCGAAAAACTGTTTTTGGCAACAATAAATCAAAAGCAAACAGTTGTCGTCTTGTAACAAATCTGTCAAAAAGATTTCGTACTTGAGTTTTCCATTTTATTATATCATGGTTGGCTTAATCTTGTAGTATTTTTATGCAATTTACAGTGAATGATTCTTCTTTTCTCCACACTTTGTGGGAGATGTCAATATATACAAGTGTAATATTGTCATAACTCTGCTCGCTCAAGCCCACAAAATAGTGAATTAAAATGCTTTAAGTCCAAAAGTTCAACCTAATACAGCAAATATCAGTTCTCAAATTTTCCCACATCAATCTTGGGAACTGAAATTTGCTGTATTAGGATGAACTTTTGGACCAAATTGGTACAAAAAATCCCCTTTCATATTCTCCTTTTGCCTACATTTTAGACGGCAACAAATTTTAATTTTCATTATATTATTTTATTAAAGAATAATTTAATTTTAGTTTATTAATATTTATCACAAATCATAATCAACATATAACTAATAATTATTGAATATATTAAAATAAAATAATTCATTAAAATTCGAAAGTTACAATTTAATAATTAAATGACAATATCATATGTTTCTTTAGTGAATTTTTATTTTTAATTTGTAGTAGTATAAATTGTGATTAAATAATTTTAAAAAAATAAATTGAGAATTGAGAATTAAAAAATAAGAAAATAAACAAAAACTGTTCACTTGATGAAATGGTGTAACGTGTTGCAAATGACTTTGCAAAATGGTTCGAAAGCTGCATCAGATTGACATGAAAGTTACATCAAATTGGTGCCATGGATTGAAGATGGCCTAAGATGCAATTTGCTCAAATTGCAATTTATTCTCTAACTTTTAGCTTTTATGGATTCTGATGCAAATTAAGGTTTCGGTTTCTGATTGGAGGTGTTTTTAATGTTTTAGTGTGTTAAGGGGTGTCTATTCTACAATGTCATGAAGCATGAGAACTTCTACACTAAAGGTCGCTAGGATGTTTTCCTAACCCAACCTAGGAAAATATCTGAGGAACTGTAGCGTGGAAAATGTTTGTGTCTCGTCGCGAGGCTCATTAAGCTATAGTTCATAATGCGGGCAGCTTTATCTGATCAAGGCTCGGGGCAAAAGGGTCCCGGTGGCTTGTACTAACCAATAGAAATATCACTAATATGTAGTACATGGAGACGAAAAAGTGAAAGAGGGAAATGGGATCCTACTTTTGTATATATGAAAAATCACCAACCAGTTGGGTAGCATGCTTGAGGGTTGAAAATGAGAATGGTGGGATGAGTGAAAAGTTACTCTTGCTATGATGAGAAATTTTGATTTGAAAAGTTGACTTATAAGTTAGTGGGCATGGGGCCATGGAGTGTTTCTCTCTACCTTATCATGTCCCATACAAATATACTCTTTGCTGCAGCATTAATTGAAAGCAATTTGGTGGAAAATTTTTATGTAAATTTCATGTCACGGGGCATGGGCAATCGAGTAAAAATGAGTCAAGTTGTCTAGATCCTAATGGTTCAACATGCTTTAGCCATATTTCACGCACATGCCAGTTCATTTTTCAACCATATCGTACTAAAGAATAGTAGGTGGGACCTAACAAAAATACTATAAGACACCTAACAAAAATACTATAAGATCTAGACGTAGTGTTCATGTAATAATATCGCTTGTTACGAGTTTCATCACAAAAAATAAAAAATCGTTTATTAAGTAAAGTATTTCAACTTCTTATCTACTTACTATCTCATGTCTAATCAATATACAATTTTGTGGTGCCCCCGGAGCATATCTCAGTGTTGCAAAGAATAAGGGTGAGGTATATTCAACTTTGCTAGCAGTCGCAGTGTGAGGGTTCAATTCTTGAAATATGGATTGAGACTTTTGTGGGCACCAGTGTACAGGCAGCTCTTGTTCCCTGACCTGTTGGAGCACATCCCGTGATTAACCATTCTCATGATATTCCAGAGGCAAGGCGCTGGGGGACCCTTAAGATTGGAGTTCAACCTTTTAATATACATTTGTGGGTAATTTTTGGACAAATACTAAGCATTTCAAAGAGTAAAAAATACTTGGAATTGACAAGTTCATGCATGTCACATGTTGCTCATGTCTAATCAATGTACAATTTTGTGGTTAATTTTTGGACAAATACTAAGCATTTCAAGGGGTAAAAAATACTTGGAAGTGACAAGTTCATGCATGTTACATGTTGCTCATGTCTAATTTTTGGACAAATACTAGCATTTCAAGGAGTAAAAAATACTAGGAAGTGACAAGTTCATGCATGTCACATGTTACTCAAGTCTAATCAATGTACAATTTTGTGGGTAATTTTTGGACAAATACTAAGCATTTCAAGGGGTAAAAAATACTTGGAAGTGACAGGTTCACGCATGTCATGCGTTGCCAAATATGGGACAATGAGTGCTTCAGAACCCGAGATTAAACCTTAGATTTCAATCCAAGCGCGAAGCCCGAGCGATTCACATCGGGGGCCGAGGTGGCAAAAGCTCAACCCCTGGCTCCAAACTCGGGATTTTATCCCTGTTTGAGCAGCAATTTCCAAATGGAACAGATTGAAAACTGACAAGAAAAATTAGGACAATTCAAATGTTCGTTTAGATCTTGGGGTGGCGTGCACATTATTAACAACATTGAACAATTGTTTCATCAAACTTGAATTCATCAATATAATTGAGCGACAACTTGAATTCTGAGTTATAAACTATAATCTAGACAGAAGAACAAAAAGTAAGTTCTAAGGTTTTTCGTATTTTTTATAGTACAAAATTTGTATTTTTGGTAAGCATATAACGTCTTGTCATGCACGTTGAAACACTTCATTATTCGCATAGTTTCCACTGGAGCAAAATCCCCAGATGACAAAATTTCCCGTCGAACCCACACCCACCACAGTCCCGACCTCGCCCCACCTTGTTACCATCAATAGAAAATTGAACTCAAGTAAATTGCTTTCTACTGTCTAATCTTACAATCTAATATATAAAACATACCCGTGTTTGTTGATAGTACTTATAAACTATGAATCATATAGAATATATGTAAATAATAAGTATGAAATTAATTATAGGTCCTCTCCATCCAGCTGGGAAATCACCTCCTGTGCCAATTTTCCAAAATTTTATAGTGGTCAGTACATTCCTTAAAGGGTAGACTTACTGCACCTCATCAGGGTGGAAAAATCAACAAAAATTAGCAAGCTAATATAATAGCTTTTAGCAATTAAAGCTAATATATGTATTAAAATGTCTGTTTGGGAGTGATTTTGAGAATTGATTTTTTGACCATTAGAAGAAAAATGAAGTCCACCTGTGAGAGAAGAAGTCAAATATAACGACTGGAATAGTGAATAACAGTCAAAAAATCAATTTTTTGGGGCAAAAAATCGCTCCCAAACAAGCTGAAAATCTAGATTGTACTGAACAGAATAAATTATAACATTTTAACTTCTTATTTTATATTATTCAGTATTGTACAATGCACCTTACTAAACACGTGATTAACAAATACCTCAAATTCTAGAACCAATGAAGCTTATAAAATCAAAAAACCAAATGTTCTCAACAATGGAAAATTTGACACGCCAATTCATTCTATATATGTGCTTCAAAGGCAAAATTTCATTCCACTTTCATGAATTTCTAACATCAAAATATACATTCAACCACCCTTTTAAGGGAGAGAAGAAAAAAGGGGTAATCCTGAGATATACTGCTGCTGCTCGAAACCCCAACTACCACAAGTCGACGAGACAATAAAATGAAATTTTACCTGAATCTACAAACAGCCGGGAAATGCTTCTCTTTTGTGAAAAAAAGGAAAAAGAGATCGTACATTTTAAGGGAGCCTTCGATCTCACAAATCACGAGGGAAGTTATTGACTTGCCCTTCTTCAAGAACATCTTTGCCGTTTATTTTATAACCTATCCGTATGCGCATTACAAGGGATTTCTGAAAGGAGAGAAATTAATGTTTAGTCTTTAACTAGCAAGCAATCAGGTAAACAGATTGAGCAAAAGCTGCAAGTACCAATTTCGTGCCTTCACATAATACACACTTCTGATCAGGGGAAAAAATATTGGAGCGCATGTTTTTCTGTGTGAGTATGTTAGGCTAAGCTTAAAATGTTCATTTCTAAGTAAATAAGTTACAAAATAAATATAATTACTACTTTCTTTGACGAGTAAGAATTACTTCAAAAATAAGTAACTTTTTTACTTCTGAGAAAAAATCAACACATCCAAGCATGATGGAAACAAAAACTTACAAGCTTAGCCTAACATGCTCATAGAGTAATAACAAGCTCAACTGTTGGCACTTTTTTTTTTTTTTCACGCACCTATTCCAAGGAACATTTAAATGATATTCCCGAGAAATGGTAGCGCAAAGGTGGTTGGCTTATCTGAAGCATAATCTATATAGTTTACTACAAGAACAACAAAAGATGATATACTAATCAACACACCAAATCAAGTGAAATGAATTGCAAGAAGAATCCACACACCTTCCCGTGCTGGCTGTTTGTAAGTTGAAGCTTCTGTGTGATTGATCCATTACCACTTGCAGGAAGAGTATTACTACTAGCTGGATCCAAGTGCAGTTGAAGAAACTGTGGATTGAAAGAACAAAATAATCTTAAAAGCCCTGGAAAGGAAGTGTAAAACGCCCCCCACCATCTTGTGAGGGGGTCTGTACAAGCTAGCAAAACCCCATGATAATAACTAGTCATAGTTCTCAATTAAATTAGGAATGGCCAGAACAATAAGAAATTAATGTTTACGTAAGAAAGAATAAAAAACAATGAAAAGAAACTTGAATTGGGGACAAGATATGACGTTTTTGTTGTAACTTTCATGTCCACAAACATCAAAAACTACAGATATTACCTTTGGGACAGCTGCCTGGAAAATGAAATTTGAGTATGCATTAGGTGACTTGTTCACAAATTGAGCCTCAACAAGTGTTGTCTGTGGGTTTCCGGGCTGCTTTGAGAAGTTAAACGTGACTCTTAAGGAGCCGCTTTCAAATGCTACAAGAGATGGATAGGTTGAGCCATTGTTTTCTGCAACTGAAAGCAAAGGTACATTACTTCAGAGAGAAAATAATGGTGCCGACTAGGTAGATAGACTGATGACACGTACCAGGCGCTGATGAGATGGGTCCAACTTCATCCAACAAATCCATCATAGAAGAACTTCCAACCATAGGAGAGGCTTGTGTGCGAGGCACAGAAGCGGAACCCAATTTGTCTAACATATCCACCGGACTTTTGTCATCTTGAACGGAAGATAACATGTCAACTGTGGAAGGGCTACTTGGAGCCGGAGGTGTTCCAATTGATAAAAGATCAAGTAAGACGTCGTTACCACTCTTTTGAGCCTGATTACCTCCTAAGATATATAATACAGGAAAACAGAATGCTTAAATATTCATGTTTTATAGAGTAAAAATTTAGATGTTATTCTTCTATCCAATAGAGACTCTCTACCGTAGAACAATCCAACCAAAGATTCATGTCCTAAGAGAGAATTAAACCAAGTGCTGTACATATGAATGTCATTTCTTATTTATTCATAAATTTTTCAAACAGATCATCAATAATAAAAAGTACAAGGGATCAGAATCATTTGCAGCCTTTATTTCAGAGACGCATTGATATAATATAAACAGGTTAAAAACATTGTTAGACACTAAATTCCTAGTGTTGTTTCATTTTGGTAATTTTTTTCAATTTAAGCACTCCGTCTACCAATGTTAAAAGAAATGTAATTGCTTACTCATATGACGGAAATGTCGATGCAGCTTTAAAAGTCCATTAAAGCATTCATTTGTTGTCAAAATTGAAAAAACATTTATTCTTCTAAAAACCAATGAATTTAGGAAGCACAACTTCTAAGAAGAATGAGCATTTTTGGCAATCTGGATCAAAATCAATTCGTTAACGGACCTTTAGAGACACATCGTCATTTCCGTTGTACAAGTCAACAATTTATTTCTTTTTAAAAATGGAGGTAAATGGAGTGCCTAAATTGAAACAAAACAAAAGTTTTTGAAACACTAAAAAGGATTCAGTGACCAAAGCAAATTCTAACAGTTCAGTGATCAACTGTGTCTTTAACAACTGAAGACATGAGATAATTTCAGATCTGTGCATAAACAAAATCAACCTGGTTGTGAAGAAGCTGGCGATGGATCAACACCAAGAAGATCCTGAAGAAAATCTCCACCAGACGAGCCAGGTTCCGGAACATCGTCTGAACTAAAATCAAGCAAATCGACAAGTGGAGTTGAAGTGGGTTTAGCAACTCCATTTGGAAAATTCAATGGAGCTCCTTGGGAAGTTGAAACAGCTGCTGGCACAGAACCAGCCCTCCTTCCACTATAGGTTGCCTCATCAAGGACCGGCATTCTTTCAACCAATGCTGACCTGAACAAATGCAATCCAGCAGCTTTTTAACCTATATAAATAACATAAAAACTGCACAATTAAAAAGCTTAGTGTATTTCTCCCTTTTCATACCTAATATTCTGGTGCTTCTCGATAATAGAATTAAATTCCATGGCTCTCTGTTGCAGTTCAAGTACAAAGCTTCCTTTGTAATGAATGACAATATCATTTATCCTCCTGTAGTAAGTTTGATATTAAATTGCACCAGATTCACTTAAACAATTTTAGTAAAGAAAACATTCAACCGTGTTGTCATGTAATAGAAATAAAACAAAAAGGTTCGAATTGCAGGTCTTGGCAGTGATAAGGATTACATTTACCGAAGGCAGATATAGGCAAACAACTAACAACTTCCAATTTAAACAAACAATAAATAAAGAACTCCAACATAACATTATGCCCCTGTCTGGGCTCCATTTTTGAAAAAAATGCATTTTTCTCTTTTTTATTTTCAACCACACATTCTCCAATAAAATAATACTACACATAAACCTAAAACTTTTCCTTATTTTTCAACCACATATTCTCCCAAAAAAACACTATTCAAAAAACATTTTCCCCAAAATTTATTTTTGATGGAGCCCAAAACAGGGGCTATGTATGCAGGTCCAGAAAGGAAAAATAAATAGAAAAAATCCTCTCCCATGAGACAATAGAAACACGGTCAAACACAACAGGAAGAGCAGCTGGTTTTCTCGTGGAGAAGTGCAAAATTCTGACATATTCAGAAAGGACAGAGAAAGACACTAGTTTATCAAAAGAAACACAGATAAAATCGACGCTCTGCGACAAGTGGAAGTTTGGCAATTTTATTAAAGGATTACATACAATAAAATAGTCTATATCATAAACAAACTCTGTAATTCACTTAATGCGGTACAATGGTTCAGATCAGGAAGTAAAACGTGATGGTTTAATCTTATTATTCCAATGATACGATGAAATAACCTCAGAAAAGAGAATCAATATTCCAGTAATACAAGTTTTTATAACAAAAACTAGAACTGGAACCCTATAGATGCTAAGATTAGATAAATGGTTAAAAATAAGTTGCACAACAATCCTGAGGGAAGTGATGGCTAGAAGCTGTTCAAGAATCCAGGGATACAATTTTTTGGAGCAAAAACTAGAACTGGAACCATACAGATGCTAAGATTAGAAAAATTGGATTATAATAAGTTGCACAACAATCCTGAATGAAGTGATGGCTAGAATCTGTTTGAGACAACTAAAAAGTAGAGAGTGAAAATGCTTTCTTGAAGCACCACGAAGACATAATATCACCTTGCTGAGAAAAAATTAAATGGTATAAGCAAAAGAAACATTAGCAGTAGAAGAAAGAACTATTTTCAAAGATGCAAAGCATAAGCCCACTGCAGAAATGCACAACCATATGCTCCCCATAACAAAGTTTATTAACATTTGCAACTTGCAAGAAAAGAAAATCAATGAAAACATACTGCGAACAGGAAGGGAAACGGCTTGACAGCTTTAACAAAGCAATCAGACACATTGCCCGAGTAGTGAGGTCTGAAGAATGGCGTCTAATGGCAGTTTCTACAACATCCACAGCATCAGACTCAGTTACCTGCTCCAGACAACATATTTTCAAGATTATCACCATAATTAAGCTCAAAAAGATCACGAGATTCATGATGCTGATATTTGACTGTTACTCTCAATCATTCAGCTATTGCTTGGCAACTTAGTTATTACTTATTATGCGTATGGAGTTATGTGGTATTTCATCAATTGTAAGATAGATTATCAATCTGCCCAATGACACGGTCATATACTCATTAGATGTCCTCATTCCCAACCTATGTTGATTTATTAAGTGTTGCAGAGAGCACGAGGAAAGACCAAGGTCCATGTCATTATTAGCAACTAGATACCTTAAGCATCCTGCTGTAGAGTAAGAAAAAAGCTAAATTCAGATTATTGATTTCTGATCTTCCACTGATCCAACTCAAAGGAGACAAACTGGTTAAAGCTCGAGTCAAACAGATTGTAGTAGCAGCACTAAAACATAAGGAACAATATTTAACTCTTAAAGACAAGCTCAAGAGAGGGGACATGTGGAAGATATGTCACTAGACCTTTTTTTTCACTAATTGAGTACAGCATTGCACTAGTGGGAGCATGCTAGATGAAAGAAATTGTAGAAAAGGAAATAGACCGGCGGGAGAAGAAGCAGAGAGGAAGAGAGAACCTCAGATTTTGAATTGGCACGTCAAAGGTGATTTTCTTATGCAGTTAACGCTCAATATTAGTTCTGTAGCATGATAAGTTGGTTGTTTCACAATAACTAATGTCACTACTGGAGAGAAATAAATCATAATTCGTAATAACTCATCAGAGAACCAACTTCTTCATTTTTATTACATTAATATAACAATAAGAACTCCACTACTGCACTGATGTGCCCAAGTCATATGAATATCTGACGGAAATTTAATGACAAATTAAACAGATATGAAATTTAAGAGGCAAGAACGCACAGTTATTGGATCCTCTTGATTGAGCATTCCACCATTACCAACCAGCATCTCACCATATTCTCCAATGCACCAAACAGAAACTCTAACAAGAGTTTCCTGGAGGAAACAACAGAATTTCAAGATGTGGATAAATGAAGGCAAAAATACCAATCAAAATCAGACTACTTCTGCCGACTGAAGGCCGTCAATTTAGGATAATAGTGTAGCTACATGGTACCTGTTCACCTGCTGTTTGTAGCTCTCTATACAGAGACCGAACAGTATATCCATGGAGGTCTGAAGCATTGGTAATCACGACAATAAGGGCATGCCAGACTTCATCCTTCATGTAATTTCCAGCCTGCATCATGCAGTAAAAATCAATTCTCTCCATGAGAAAAAGAGAAGATCGATTACATTCGAAAAGGACTAATGGAAAAATAAGTCTGGTCGAGCTCAATTTGAATATGACATTTAACAAACATTCACAGATCCTGACATAGGAAATAAATGAGTGCAATTTATATAGTTGATTGAAAACATACAGATACTTGTGAGTCTGAGTGGTAAACAATTAAAAGGGGGGTAAACAAGCCATTTGTACCAAAAAACTAGTCCAGAAGAATATATAAAGAACAATAAGAAAACAGCATTTATAACATGTGCCGGCATGTACTGACGTCAAACAAAGATTTTGAATTATTAATCTGAAATAATAAATGTGCATAACCGTCAAAAGATTCAACATCCTCTTATAGGATTTGGCAGGGTTAACCATTTCATAATGAATGATAGATTCTCACACAGGATGTTCGTGCAATTAAGCATATGTTATAGTAACCATGTTGAAGAAATAAATATCCTCCTTCACATCATGATACAGTGATCATCTCATTTGCTTTAAGATATTTAAAATAATCTTCCCTCCAGTTATGAATTTATAGACTTACTGACGTACTGCACTCACATTTCCATCTCCCCCATAAAAGCACTCATGTTCTTTATATAACACTAATTTAAGAGGCAAAGTTGTCTCAATCAAAAGCACCATGACACAAAAATAAAAAAGCTGACAGTTGTTCCTTTTCAAGAACAGATTAATTGAACAAGATAAATACTGTGTTCGCGTAACAAAAATGATTAATGTCTTTGGCATTTAAAAATGATCTACACATTTATCAAGAGAAGCCTCAAAATTACAGCCGACAAACAATATGTTTGAAACTTCAAAAAAACATGACGTATACCTTGGGCAGAACTTTAAGCATCTGATCAATGTACCATATTTTCTCAGGAGAAAATCTGCATCACACAACAGAGGATGGGATGTAAATCACAAAATAAATTGGAAGACACATATTAATTATAGTTTGATAAAGATTTTGTCATTCTCAACTTTATCATATTGCACTCGGAGGATTTAATCACTGATATGATGGGCACAGAAACAAGAGACAAAGAAAAGGATGATCAAACCCCATGGAACATTTAGGACGGATTCAGTCGAGCATTATAAGTGCCACATACTCCATAGATCATATGCCTAACACAATTATACTACAAGCAATACTACCCTGCAATTCTTGAACCAAGGAATTGAAAAATTCTGGATACACATAATCCCACTCAACTTACTTCTCCACAATGGAGCAAATTTTGGCGGTGAGATCTCCCTTAAACTCTGGGTCACTTATCTCAAGAAAGTCAATTAGCTCCTTCGTCAAAGACTTCACATTGCTTTCATTCACCAGAAGATATACAAGCTCAAGGGCCCTTTTCCGGATAGAAGCATCTAAATCCTAACAACAAAATAGCAGTCATGAATTTATAAGATGCTACTGCAGATTTATTCACTAATATAGATGTTACCACGGGGGAAAGGGGGAGAGAAACACATAAAAATGAGATTCCAATCAAACATCTTACCTAAACCGAGAGCAAATTAAATAGCATTTTTAAACTACAGCCCAACTAAATTATTACACATATTTCATCAGAGAACTTAAATCTAGAAGGCCCAAATTCAATAATATTGCAGCAACGGTTAGAAGCCATGAACACTATTAAGTTGCTAGAACAATCTGATAATGAACTATACACAAAACACCAGTGATGCCCTATTGTGTTGAAGGGGAAAAAATTACACCTGATCACTCGCTTAAAAGTTTTTGTTAGCAATAATTTTATAAGCAATTTTTTTACCAAGATCTAATTTACCCAACACCCTTATTTTTTCCTCCATCAAAGACCACGACATTCTAACAGCTCAGAAATCTATGACTTCAAAGATGCCAAAAATGGACTATTAAACAAGATACACTTCACAAATATTTAGAATCTTTCTAATATCAGGGATGGAAGAATTAGATATGGTCACATGGTACCTTTACACATTCCAATATAGTAGTTAGATGCCTCTGCACTGCTTGACGGTCTAGAGAAATAGCCTTCATCAGCATGTTCAACGCAACATATCTGACACAACGGATTTCAACTCGACAAGATGAAAAGGCAAGAGATAGTAGCTACTAAATTTTTACCATGTAGGATTCAAATGTAACGACTACGAAAACTACAGTAAACAGCGAGAAAGGAACTGCAAGGATTAATTATGCAACAAAACAAAGACATAAGAAGTTCAACTATCAATTTCAAGTTCTAAAAAATGTCTAGACAGCAAATTGATGGAGAGTGAAAAACATGTAAATATCTAGTTCATGGGGTCAAGTTAATAATATGTACATACTCCAAGAACTTGAAAATTCATATAGTCACTCTTAAGTCCAAGCTAAGCAGCCCTTCTCATTGAGTAAGCAATTCAGTCTATTGAATATGAAAGGGTGGCCACAACCGTATATCATAAGATCTTGTCACTATTATCAGTTTCTTTTATTAAAATTTCAAGTAAATAGTGCAGGTTAACCATCTGATGGGTGCTAGAATCTGACAGAACAAATATGCATCTCAAGCATCAACAAGCATGTCAAGAATTCTTTCCTCCATAATAAAAGCATTAGATCACCAATTAGATAGTGTTCAGAAAATACATTATGAAAACAGATGTAGCAGCTTTCAGCATTAGAGGGAAGTGGCAATATCCAGACAAACACAACACAATCCACAAGAATTAGATGTGAAACATAAGAGAAAAATAAGTTTTACAAGGTGGTTGTCAAAATTTTTTTAACAATGTCCTTAATCATTAGAGGCAACTATTGAAGATGGGATTTTGATGTACTCAATCCTTAATCATGATGGATCCGACAATTAAGCATATGACATCCTATACAAAAAAGGATTCCATTTGGCAAATTTATAATTGGTTTATAATGAGGAATACTAGCGGATCCCACGAAATATGTGAATAGTAATGATTAGTAGTCATGAATTTGTGGTTAAAATCACTTTGACTGAATTTATATCCAAATGGAGTCAATGGACCAGAACCCAAGTGGCATAGCCACAACAAAACATGCCCTTGCAACCTAGGAAATTGTTCAAGCCAAATCAATGAAGGCGACCTGATATTGTTATCACGGCTGGACAAAAATCTTCCCAATATATTGACAGCTAGCACTCTTAAACCACCGCTCTCTTCAATGGTCATGATTGTTGAAACACATTCATAGAGAATTGCATTCCCCGCATTTTTGTTTGACTCAGTTTTGGTTGCCACCTGCAAAATGCATATAGCATATCAGGCAAACAGAACAAGTAATGGTTACAATAAAAATAGGAGTTGTGCTTGGTGTACATAATATAGGGATCACATAGGGTGGGGCCAACACAAGGTGGGTCCCACCACATGTGAAGGGTTTGGACACCCCTATGTACATAAATTTTGTACACCAAGACTTTTCCTAAAAATAGTATCCCTAGTACTGAAATGAATTCACAGAATTTGAATGTTGATCGCCGAATTCGTACTATTATTGACACCAATCATCCTTAAAAGACAGTTCTAGATAAGAAATTAATGATATACAAGGTGTGTCTTTAAGACCAGGTTCTGGAAAAATTATTTTACCATATGTTACAATTTAGTTTCATGCTTGTACGTTAGTGCTTATGAGTTGTAGGTCTTATGGAATATGGAAATACAAGTGGATAGTAATTGTGGATCCTACAAAATATGTGGATAAAAACTATGTTTGACTTTTCCAAACATGCTCTTCATCTAATGCTATATTTTTTCAAGGATAGAGTTCATTACTCTCGTCCCTTTCATTCTTGCAGTATCACTTGAATTCATATCAACAAGGGAAACACTAAGTAGCAATATCTTTTGATAGTTATGAAAACACACTTCTAGAGAATCCAAATGAATAAATAAAATAGCAGATCATTTCCTATCTAAGATTAGAAAAACAGAAGAAATCCATTCCATCTCGAATACAAAGAGTTGACTACAGAAAGATTACCTGTAATTAGTATCTAAAAAGTTAATGATCTCTAATAATATAGTTAGAAGAATTGAAACAAACATTAGATTTTGCAAAACACAAGAAAACAAATTAAAAAAAATTACCTGTCATATCAGAGAAAGCAAGTTAATAAACATGAAAACATTAACTTACCTGAGCAAGAATATCATTCATACTATCACTGGCATCAGCATCTCCCTGGCCCAACACACGCAAAAGCTTGAGCAATCTAATATGAAGAAAAGGATCTGCAATCCCCGAAACATCGTACTCAGGTGCATATGGACTGTTTGCAACATCCTTTAGAACTTTGACTAGACCATCTGTACATTTCTAGAATCATAGAGGAAAAGAGAAGGGGGGAAAAAGATGAAAATCTTGTCAAAATGAAAACCGCATTTCAAATCATTTAAATCCAATGTTAAATATATATTAAAATAAAAAAATCATTTTATCAAGAAATTAGAAAAGTAACTCCATGCTTATTTCAAGTTCAGAAGTTTAATATGCAACAGAGTTACAGATAAGAAACGCTGCAGTTCGAAGGGACTGCACCCTAGATGTAAATTGCTCAAAAATACAATGAATCGCTGTAATTGAACCATTACATCAGATATATAGCTGTATAAGACAAAACTAGATCCATCAGTAGACACCCATGGTTTAAAAAACCCAATTGAAATCCACCTTAAGGCCGGCCTTAGAGTGAGGCGTGCAGAAAAGGTCTCAGGACGCTGATTGTGAGGCAACTTTTTGAGGCGTTCGCCTCAAGACTTGTGCCCCCACAGAACATAATCGACCCATTTTGAGCTGCCACTAAAATATTATAAAATTATGTTTCTCATAGATCTCCTTTGGGAATAGTCCATTGTCCCCAACAATTAAAATAACAGTTACTTCTATTATGAGTTTTGAAAAATTTTATGATGTATTATCGAGCTTGCTTCGTGTTCTAAATAAAATTTTGACATTTTTTTGGGTTTATTGTGAGGCTTACACGTCAAAATGCCTGGTCTCATGAAGGAAAAACGATTTAGTACCCGTTTACATCTTTTTAAAGATTATAGACACCAAACCAAGATATGTTGAAATCAATATGAACTCAGGTCTGTAGTGCTGAGGTTTGTTAACCGAGATCTCCTAGGCTTCCTGTATTGATAACTAGCATTTTTTTTCTAGTTACCAGATGGTGAACTATTACTACGTTTTCATCAGCATTAACCCTTTCCAACTGTTACACAGAGGACAAAGACAATCAGTTTTCTTAGTAAATTTCTGAGGAATAGAAAATGTAGGATTATCAAAGATAATCGTAATACTATTCAGCATGATCTACCCTAATCCAATTCTAACACATCAAAGCAAGGAAATTACATGTTTTAGTCTCCATAGAATTATCATAGTCCATAGACATCAAATCTTTGGCAAAGGTACAAAGCTTAATTCTTTGACTTATCTAATCTAATCAAGCGACAAGATTATTCATTGATCTTAGTTTTATCGCTTCAGGGTGAAAGTGTATCCTGCTGATTTATAGATCAACAGAAAAATATATAAAGATAGGTTACACATTGAATATAATTGTTGTGCATATGACTCATATAGAGTAGAACACAGGCCCTGGATCAAATGGGCCGACGTCAATACAGGGGTATTTTCTGTATGGGCCTTAAAGTCTTATATGGACCCAGGCTAGGGTTAGTATAAATAATATGTTGTAACCCTATTTTTATTAGCTGAATAAAGAAATCTCCGCTTCACTCTCGTGGATGTAGGCATTCATCTCTTTAATATTGGGCATAAAATCCAACAATAATATTGTCAATTTTACACAACCCATCAATAATGCAAGTGTTAAGGAAATAAATAAATTAGTATTATATAGATTAGGCAAGAGTGCAATGGGTTTATTATGATTCCATATTTGTAGTCTTCTTCCATAGGAGTAATCCTGATCTTCCCTATATAATGAAAGTGTAGGAGATGAAAAATATACCTTCCTCTCTACAATGTTTACCCAAACCTTGTCTCAACTTGGTATCAGAGCATCTTTCCTAAGGTTTGGTAGTCTACCTTTGTCTTCAACGCAAGCTACCTTCTTTTTTCCTTCTTTAGTTTCCTTTTTTTCTTTTTCTTTTCTTTTTTTCTTACCACGTTCCTTCATCTTCAATTGTAAGGAGTGTGGTTTCTTTCAAAAATATATTCACTAGTGTCGATCGAGGTTGCGTCTATTGCATGTGCCTGCACTGGTTGGTTTGGTCTATGGTTTAGTGATTTTGCGTGTTGATAGCGGTTTACTGTGACGTGAGTGTGCACTTGTTCTGCAGTTGTTCGGAGTCAGGATTTTTAGATTCTGGCAGCATCTGTGGTTTCGGTTTCGGTTTCGGTTTCGGTTCCGATTGATTTGATTTTTGTTTTGTTTTTTCTATAGGCCCCTTTAGTTTTAGGTCAGTTGATGTTGGGCCTATTGGTGTTGATTCAATTACAATTGATTTTATTGTTGGTTGCTATGTCGGTTTATTGGCTTCTTTAATTTTGGCCCTATTAAGGTTGGTTTAATTTCCGGTTTCATTGTTAGGCTGGTCACTTTATTTGTAGGTCTATTTGTGTTCCTCGAATTATGGTAGTCATTTATGTGGACAATATCATGTCATCCAAGATGGAGATGTTCAATCTAACAGGATCTATGGTATCTGAAAAATTGAATGAAAGAAATTACACTTACTAGGCTAGGTGTATCGAGGTCATCTTGCGAGGCAATGATTTATTTAAATACTTGATTTTGGACAAGCCCTCAGAAAGTGATTCTGAAAAGATTGATAATACTCTCAACAATCGATAGGATCAAGAGTATAATGCAAACATTGAATTTATGTTCAGTAGTATTGAGCCTCATATTGGGTCTTCATCTCTCTATATGTCTACGCCTAAGCAAATTTGGAAACATCTCAAACATATACATTCTGGAACTGGAAAGGTTACTCAAATCAACGAGACGTGTATACAATACTTTGGACTTAAAAAGGGCTACTTCAGTCTCGTTCAATAATATAATAAGCGTTTGATTGTGTGTCAGGATAAAAATGTGCATCAACCTCTCTTATAGATTTGAAAGTTCATGGAAAAACAACGAGAAGACATTGATACGTTAAATTCCTTATTGGTCTTCTGCCAAAGTTTGAGACAAATCGGGAACAAATATTATATGGAAAAGAGCTTCCTACTGTTATAGAGACATTCTCTCATATTCAGTGTTCTACTTTATCAAAAAGTACACCTAACGGAGATCGTTCTACTTTTGTTGCTCGAGTGGCTCATTTAGGGATGTAGCAGTCAGAGTGGATTGGTTTTAGTCCTCGGGGTAGACAAGACACTAGAGGCCATGGTCATTCAGGAAGTCATACAAGTCACTCCATTGATTATTGTTGGGACTTACATGGCAAACCATCTGAATTGGCCAATCAAGTCTCATATGATGAGACACATAACCATTTATCTGGACCAGTGGCTAACTCTAATTCAACACCATAATCTGATTTCTTATCCGTACCACAGAATGAGTATGTTGAGTCTTTAGCTCATAAACAGGCTACTTCCACTTCTAGACCACTCTCACTCAATCAAATACTACATCTGCTCACTGTCTATTGTCATCCTCTCACAATCCATGAATTATAGATTCCGAAGCAACTGAACACATGACTGGTTCGTCTACTTCTCTCCTTGATTATCATCTTGTTATTTCTTCCAAATGTGTCATTCATGGTAACGGTTCTTGAGCTAGTGTTGCAAACTCGGGCAATGCCCATCTTAATCCTAATATTGACTTGCCGGCTATCTTTCATGTTCTTAACTTTCCCTTTAGTTTATTATCTATTAGTAAAATTACCACAACTCTTCATCGTTCTTTAAACTTTTATCCTTCCTTGTACGTTTTTCAGGATCTCAAGACGAAGAGGCATGAAGTTGGTAGCTTGTATTATCTTGATCTTTCACTTGTCTCTTCTCCTCGAGCTCTCCAGTTTTCTATTTCACCCATACAGTTGCATTATCATATTGATCACCCTTCACTTTCCACTTAATGTGAAGCTTGTCAGCTTAAAAAACATCACCGTGTCTTTTCGTTTAAGAACTATTAGACGTGTTTCTAATTTATTTGAAATGATTCATTTTGATTTATGGGAACCAATCAATATTAACTCTAATAAACTTCAATATTTTGTCATTTGTGGATAATTATTCTCATATGACTTGGCTGTTCTTAATGAAAAATAGTTCAGAGTTACTTTCTATCTTTCGAGTCTTTCGTACTTTAATAAAAAAATCATATTTTGCGATTTGATAATGGTAAAGAATATGCCTGTTTCTTTTGCATCCTGTCTCTTCCAAAAGTACTATTCATTAAACATCTTGAGCATATACTCCACAACAAAATGTAGTCACCTAACGCAAAAATCGTTATTTGTTAGATGTTACCCGTGCTCTTCTTTGACATATGCATGTCCCTAAATATTTTTGGAGTGATATTATCCTCACTACATGCTATCTCATTAATCGCATACACCCTCTATTTTGAACGATGCATCTCCTTTTTTTATTTTGTTTTCCTCATCTCCATTGTACTCGTTACCTCTCAAGATTTTGGAGTGTATTTGTTATGTTCATCACTTTGGTCCTGATCGTGACAAACTTGATTTTCGCTCTATGAAATGTATTTTCCTTGGTTACTCTCAAACACAGAAGGGGTATCGATGCTATAATTCTTCTTCACAACGCTACTTTGTAAGTGCAACGCTACTTTGTAAGTGCAGATGTCACTTTCGATGAGTTCACACCCTATTTCTTTGATCATAGTACTTCCCTCAAATCCACTCAAGACCCTGATAGCTTACCCGTACCATATTTATTTATTGGTATTTCTCTTGAACTAAACTCATCACCATCTACTGCACCGGAGTTGTCCCGTTCCCATAAGGAACCACCTCCTCCTTTACAAGTTATACTCAACGATTTAAGCTACCAATGCATGTGGCATCATCAATCACCCCGATGTCTATGGATCCCACATACGTCATTTGTTCTAATCCTGAATCATTGTTCACTACTCTCCGTAAAGATAAACGTACTTGTGTAACTAAACACCCTATCAGCTACTATGTCACATTTGATTCGCTATCGCCTTCGTTTTCCTATATCACATGTCAACTTTCTAGTGTTTTTGTACCTAAGACAGTTACAGGAGATTTACTTGATACGGAGGGGCGTAAGGATATAGAATTAGAAATGACAATCTTGCACGAGAATAAGACTTGGAAACTCATTCCTTCCCATCCTGGAATACATACTGGTGATAACAGATGGATTTATGTTCCAAAATTCAATTCTGATAGAACTATTCATCGATTGAAAGCTTAACTGGTTGCTAAAGGTTACACACAGACCTATAATACAGATTATGATGAAGCATTCTCTTCGATTGCTAAGATCTCTTCTATTCCCATTTTAATTTCTATTGCTACTAATCTTAGTTGGACATTGTTTCAATTGGATATTAAAAATGTCTTCCTTCATGATGACTTGCACGAAAAGGTTTAGATGGAGCAACCACCGGAGTTTGTTGCTCACGAGGGTACCGGAATCATGTTTGTAAGTTAAAAAAAGCTTCATATGGGTTAAAGCAATCACCAAGGGTATCGATTGAGAAATTTTCTGAGGATGTTATGAAATTTGGTCTTCAAAGGTGTCGGACGGATCATTTAATATTTCATCTACAAACTGGTATAGGTTATGTTATCCTTAATAGTTTATGTAGATGATATTGTAATCATTGATGATAATGCAAAAAAGATTGCCTGATTAACAAAGTTTCTACAAAAAAATATTTTCAGACCAAAGATCCAGACAAGCTCCGATATTTCTTAGGTATTGAAGTTGCTAACTCTCAGACGAGTATCACTTTATCTCAAAGAATATGTACTTGATCTATTAGATGAGACAGGTCTTATTGGAACTCGTCGAATTGATACTACCATGGATTCTGATGTGAAGCTTTTGAAGGATGAAGGAGAACTGTTTGGAGAACCATGAAAATATCGTCATTTAATTGGAAAATTGATTTATCTTACCATCACCCAACTAGATATTTCCTATGCAATTAGCGTCATTAGTCAACTCTTAAATGTTCCTCCAGTTTTAAAGTTGTGATACATATTGTTCAATATTTGAAAAGGGCTACAGGCATTAAATTATTGTATAAACCAAATGGGCATATCAAAATAGATACAGATACAGATTGGGCAGGATCTCCATCAAATAGATGATCCACTACTGGTTTATATAGTTTTCTCGGTGGTTATCTTGTCTCTTGAAAAAGTAAGAAACAAACTATAGCAAGAAGGTCAACTGCAGATGCAGAACATAGGGTCATGGCTCATACTGCTAGTGAGTTGAAATGGTTGCAGCACTTTCTTCAAGATATCAATGTAACCTTTTAACCCTATTCCGATGTTTTGTGATAATCATGTTGCTCTACATATTACATCTAATCCAATCTTTCATGAGAGGACCAGGCACATAGAAGAAGATCGTTACTTTGTTCCAGACAAAATAGTTAGCCGTGATATATGTACAGCATTTGTAAAAACAAGAGACCAGCTAATATGTTTACAAAGTCTTTGAATGGTAATCGATTGAGATTTCTTTATTCCAAACTCGACTTATATGATATATATGTTCTAGCTTGAGAGTGAGTGTCAAGGAAATAAATAAATTAGAATAATATAGATTAGGCAATACTGCAATAGGTTTATTGTGTTTCTATATTTGTAGTCTACTTCTGTATGTGTACTCTTGATTTTCCCTATATAATGAAAGTATAGGTGAGGAAGAATATACCTTCTTATCTACAATGTTTACACTAACCCTTGTCTCAACAGCAAGGAATACAGTTTCAGGAGAGCCTGGTTATCATTTGGTATCTTGATTATGTTAGTTTGCTAAAGACAGGGCAAGATGTTCCCTATTTCCAGTTCCAATTGATAAGCTTATATAAGCTACAGAAGATGGGAAAGATGTGAACAGCCTGGTTAGTTTATAGTCCATGAACCATTATTTCCCATGACTAGCACAGAAATCAGATGATTGATTGAACCTCTATAGCATCAGGCATAGCTATGAAAATTTTCCAGCTATTTATGATTTACCCATAGATCATCATGAGGAGTATGAAATTAACACAAGTAAACAGCACTAGAAAATGATTTAGATACACAACTAATACATTTGATGGAAACAAGAAGTTATCTTCATCTTATTTACACTTCAGAGGAATATTGTCTTCTAGTTAAGTTAGACACTATTTTTTTGTCTTCTGGTTTTCAGAAATATATTTTGAAAAAAATAAAAATAAATAATAGAGAATGTGATTGTCAATTTACCTTTCTGTAATACTCAAGAGCCTCTGTGCTGATTTTACATAGATCTGTACAAAGCTGAATACCTGTTATTAAGACTCCATGGTGCTTTTCTTTCAATAAAGAAGCGGCAGGATTTATAAAGTTTTCTGCCAGTTCTGGAACTTTCTTTATAATCCTTATAGAGCACAATGCTGCCTACAGTACACAATATAGTCAACAAGATTAGTTTCACGTCTCTAGTGGAACATTTAGAAAAAGGAAAATAAGATTAATTGATTATAGAAAGATGTATTACTGATGCTTTAGACATTTTAAGAACCCCAAACTTTACGTGGATATTTCTGTTCTGAACAGAAAATATCAAAGAAAAATAGGTCAAAGCTGAAACTGATATCCTAATAACAATAAAAGTGGGAGGTCAAAACAGAATTCCTTTTTCAATCTTGTTGATAAGTTTTTTAGTAGTATCTATCAGTAATAAGCACCATAAAAATCACTGCCAAAAAGGGCAAAAAAAAATGCACTTCATAGATGTTACTCATAAAGGATAAAGAATGTGTCATAAAAAGCATACAAAAATAGATCTAAGGAGTGCTTGAATATACTCCTGTCCCATATTTTATATAGCTGTTTATTTCCTCAAAGGGGACATTAATTTGCAAGTCTCCCAAAAAGAGGGGCAAAAGTTGACATAGTGTCAAATCATGTGTACTGCAAATAATAGCTTGAAGCACCAATGAAACTCGTCATCAAGATCCAACTATTGCCAGGAAAGGGAAATATGGTAAGAAGCATGCATATTTCGCTAAAGTTATGTCTGGCTCAGGGATACTACAGCTAATATAAATAATGGCTTTTACAAATAATATAATTTACACCGTGATTTAGTCCAATAGTGAGGAATGTGATATTGCGACAGTTACATTATAATTCTAATTTGCTGACAACAAAAATAAAAAATAGAATGGCATAATCTTGTAGAAATTCAAAACATGAAGCATTAACTGAACCATAACTAGTTACATCAGAAAATTCTATAAAAGCATTCAAGCAATGTTATGAAAGCTTACTTTCTTCCTGATATTTGGATCCCTAAATTGAAGTAATCGCTCAACTTCTGGTGCAAGATCACGTGCCATTTCTGCAGAACAGATATTCCCCAATGCACAAAGAGCCAGACCAACGATATATTGGTTGGTGTGAATCAGATCTCTTTGCACAAGTTAAGGCATCCAATTGAATATATGAACTTCAATTTTTTACATTAAAAAAGCAAGCTATCTATATAGAATAGTTAGGATCAGTAACCTCATCCTTTCTATTTTAACTTACTGCTTCTTTTGCTCTAGTTGAATGGGGGGTACCAATAGCATTAATTATTTCAAGAACACAACATAAAGAGAACTAAAATTAAGTTTAGAGTGGATACTGCTTTATTGAGTTGGTAACTAACATCAGAACTTCCTGTCTCTCATCTAGTAGCAACATGAGGCCAAGATATCCTATTCTCTTCTCAGGGAATCCAGGAGATGCAATTAACTTCAGGCATTCCATTTGACCAAAATGTGTGGGGTAACCAAGCATGTGAATGAACATGAGTTTCGCAAGATTGCGATGCCTATAATCTTGGTCATTTTCACTAATTGCGGCACGAATAGCAGCACATTCTTTTCTCACAACAGCACGCTCCTCTGCAGCAGTTTTGCAAGCACGTATAGCCCGAATCATGTCCCTGAAGCAGTAGGTACAATCAATAATATCTTCAAGCTAAATCAAAAATTAGCAGTAACAGATGATAATAAAGAGATTGCACACCACGAAAGGGATCATAATAAAGCTACAATCAATAGGAGCATTTGATGGAAGACATCAGGATGTGATGAACAGCACTGTGAGAAAAGATAATGAAGTATGACGTTATAGTTGCTTGAGAATTGAAGTGAGCACAAAATTCTACCAAACAAGGACAGACCTTTAGAGGGAGGAGTAGGGTTGGGCAAAGAACCAAAAAACCGACCAAACCGGGTCGGGTCAGTTTGGGTTGGTTTGAACCAAAAAATTAGTTTGGTTCGGTTAATTTTGACCATTAAAAAGCAACCAACCTATATATTAACAGATCCAAACCGCAAATACATTTTTTTTTTTAATTCATCTTTTTAAACCGTAAAAACGAAATAATAAAAAAAAGTTATTTTATCTCAAATAATTTATTTACTGTCTATATTTTTCTACCAAAACTCTAAATGTCTAAAAAAAAGAAAGCAAGAAGAAGAAGAAGCATTTAATGTAAACTTTGGATTTAGATCGTAGCCTTACTTTCATTTTGATGTAATTGGTTGTTGGCAACTATCGAATTTATATATATATGATGATTTTGGAAAAATCGATTCTTTACCATTTACATTATATATATTATTGATATGCATCACATAAGAAAAAAATTTATATGTATAAAAAAACAATGTTTTAACCCAATATAGGTGAACAATTTTTTTTATTTACTCGCAAAAATTCCAAACTGATTAGCCAAACCAAACCGACTCAAACCGATTTGTTTGCTTTGGTTCGATTTCAACAACTGGATTGGTCAGTTTGGATTGGAATTTATCCAAACCAATCAAGTTGATTTCAGGTTGGACTCAAAACCAACCCAACCCGAACCATGCCTAGGCCTAGGGAGGAGGTAGAAGATCTAGAAAGAAAAAGAAATAATTTCATAATAATATACTATGTGAGAAAATTAATTTGCCATGGGCACACATTGTTTTCTTGGCTTTTATACAAGACAGAGAAGGCTATTTATGAAGATGGAACATAGTTTGGGCCTAAGCCTACAGTCTTGCCTTTTGCTTATTTTAGTGAAGTAGAGTCTTGCATTATATTCGACGTTCTAAAAAGGCACACCTAGACTCATGAATCAGAGAAAACACCAAAGCCTACGACACACCTAGGCAAAAAAATACATGCCTTTCGTTTGGCAGATAGTGTTTTTTTGTTTTTAAGTCTAGCTCTACAAAAGCCCAACCATTGTTAACACTTAGTAAAGAAATATGCCAAAAAAACCCAACATAGCCACAAAAACAGTTCCAAACTCCATCTCATTTATGTTCCATATTAGAGCACTCACGATTTTATTAAAAAAATAATAATTCAAAGCATTCATCCTTCTTCGTCTTGTTTTTCAGCCCAGTTTATGTTCCAAATCTTTTTCGACTTGTGATCCGCCATGGGCAAGGTTTAAGCTATGTTATATCTAACCTAATTGTAGGAATTAATTACTAAGTAATTTTATTATTCATGATTTTGAGAATTGTGTTTTTGTTGAAAGCTTGAATTTATGAAGTTTTTATAAATTTCCAAGGTACACATGATACATCATTCATGTAAGTAATGGTCTAGAATAATTAAAATAGGTCAACAGTTCATTATGCCATCACTTTGTAATACCTAATAATAATATAGAGTTAGGGCTGTAGGATCTCTTTATACCAAGACTAGAGTTTATTGTCAGATGGATTTGATTATTTTACATAAAACTTCGATAATTTTCTCAAACTTCATCAATTATTAGGTATTCCATTGTAAATATTAGTTCGNTTTCACCATGTGACATTCTTTTAACTGCATATTATGAACATTGAATCCAACAATGTCCCTATATTTTCTTGAAGCTTTGATCGTAATAGTTTTTTCTTTTTTTTCCGCTTATCATTTCAACTGAGGGTAAAGTTGATGATTAAGATGGAAGATGGGAACTAAGTCTATTTCTTTTGTGCATGTACAATACACGAAAAAAATAAAAAAAAAGAGTTTACCATACACCTCCCAAGCATACACAAAAGATATTATTTTTTAATGTTTTATTGAATTTTAGGCACATATTATATGTATATACCATATCTTGGATTCGATAAGCTGTAATTTACTGCGGAAAAGCTAAGTTCAAATTTCCTTCAGAATGTAAATTTCTTCTTCTATGAAAGCAAATAATTATGAATTATTTTGATATTAATGCAGTTACTAGATTTGTATCTGATAAATAAGACTACTTTAGTAGAAATGAAATGTTATATTATTTTCCTTGGGTATATTTGTGCATATCTAAAGATCTAAAAATTTAAATCAGAAAAAAGTACAATACGATAAAGAAAAGTAACGTGTCTAATAAATAATTGTGATGTAACTAAGTTCCCCATCTCCATGATTCCTTAAACTATTAATAACATGGAAATTATGATCATTGTCGTAATATCAATTTAGTGATAATCTATCGGAAAATATTGTAAGACAAATAATAGTTATTCATGTATTATATACATAGAAGAGCTCATAAATAAAGCCACTTTTTTGAATCTTCAATTTGTTATTTATGTCCATAGTATACCTTACAAGTTGACATTCATATATGGTCATTCACACAAGTCATTTTCATGGTACTTTTCAAGAACAAATCAAAATCCATGAATATTGTGGAGCACAAATATTTACATCCTTTACTTTACCATGAAGGCCATCATTCACAAGTATAGAAGTCTTTATAACAAACAGTTGAACAAATCTCATCCAATGGAGGACTCGACGTGTAATTAAACGGTAAAAACAAAAATCTTCACGGTCAGGATGCTTAAATGAAAAAATTGACATATCAAGCAAGTATAGTTGTATTTTGACGAGGGAAGCCACTGTTAATGGAAGCTAAGAAATTGCATGTAAACATTAATATAAGTGCAAGAATGATCACAGCACTTCATTCGTGCCCTTCTGTCCTTTTCAAATGACCCTTGAAAGTTAACTCCAAAAGATAGGCAACTATAAAAGGTTTGAATACTCAGCTAAGTCAAAATCCTATTAGATATCCATAGAAGGCAAATTGCTCACCGGCAACCAAAGCAAGCTAAATCTAGCCAATTATATTTAAATTGGAGATGAAATTATATGGAAGCCAAGGATACATCATTGTGGGCTTAGGAACAAATAGGATGCTTTTTCACTTGATGTTAAGTTGCCAATTGATTTATAAAATAGCTAGTAACGCTACATTACTGTGTAGGTCAAATTCAAATGCACAGCTTATAGCATTGAGCATACAACCATTCTAAACATTCCAACTTTGTGTCATAAAATAGAAAAACAAAAACCTCTAACTATGATGTATTCTCACACTACAGAAATCTTGGATCAATATCAGTTTATATTCTCCTCAATTTACTTGTAAATTGATTCACTCACTTGTAAAATTAATTCTCCAGATCAATATATTCGCAAAACTACAAACTGAGCCACTAAATCACTGAGTAAATGCTCCAGGCTTTCATCAGTACATTCCATAATCCCAAAGAACATAAATTTTCTCGTCTTTTTTTTTCTTTTTTTTTTTTAATTTGGCTGTAGAAATGATATAAATCCACCTAAAGCTACATTCAAGTGCCACATTATCTTATATATTTGGACTATATACGAAATTCCAGCAGAATCACCACATATACGTGAAATCAAAACAACCCTATTGGAAATTCCAATACTTGATTCAATAAATGATCAAAAAATTACGAAAAGCATAATTCATAATGATGCAATAAGACTTACCTTAGGCGGGTGCCAGAGGAAAAGGGATTCATGATTGGATCAGTCTTGAAACTCCGGGATAGCTCTACTAGATCCAGCTGTCACGACAATTTTGCTCACGCTGAGATGATAACTTACTGCGAAATTCAAAACCCAGATAGAATAATCAAGTGAAAAGACAAAGAAACTGAGATCTGGGTTGGAAAATTTGGAAGCGTCCAAAATTTTACAGGAAGAGTTGGGCTTGGAATATGTAGTAGGAAAATAAAATGGCTCGATTTCTATAATGATGATGGTGCTCCATCTAACAAGAATTCAAAAGTAACCAATTCAATTTCCACTTATATCATTTTGTGAGAATTTTTTCTGGGTTTTCATTCGACTTATGGTGAAATTCGTGTAATTCAATGGATTACGAAATGAAACGCGAGATCGCAAACTGAAATTTTTCTCACGGGAGATTTTCTAATTGGGCCAAATTTTCAATTTTTAACTCACTTTTTAAAGTTTTTTTTTTTTTTTTTTTAAGATGGAAATAACTTCATTCTTTAAAACATTTGTTTCAATTTGAACATTACGACTAGTCAGCTTAGGTTTGATATTATTATTTTGGGAAAATAAAATGTTGCAAAATAATTAATTAAGTTTTTGGTTAACTTTTATTTCAAAATTAATGTACGTCTCACAAAAGTGTTTTATTGTTGTCTTATGTAATATTATTGTTATATATTTTCAAATTTATAAAAAAGTGTAATACCATTAAATAAATATAAAAAATTATTTTTACTCTTTGAAAATGCTTAATACTATTAAATATTTAATTATTATAATATATTTAGCATAGTTATTTTTGGAAGGAAAAAATTAATATTTATCAAATTTCAATTTTTTTTAAATTAGAAAATAAACTTGAGGGGTAAGAGCTAAAAACAAAAATTAAAAGAATATTTTTAGCCCCCATTTGATAGTGATCGTTTGATTACCCGCAAGTGAACATGATCGTGAGCAAATAATATAGTAGTGTATAGAGTGTCGAATCCACAAGTACTTTGTGTTTGATCCAGTTAAAATTAATAATACCTTTAATCGAATAACAAAATTAAGTTATGACTAAACAATATTAAATCTGGCAACTAAATTGAAAGCAAAGTAAAAATTTATCAAATTCGCGAAAAGTATTGCGAAAATGTGGAATCCTCTTTGCTAATCCATTTTTAGTTCGATAATTTAAATTGACAATTTGAAATTATGCTCATTGGTCAATATTCCTATTTTATTAAAAACCTCTCTCGATAGTTATCAAATCTATTCCCCTTATGCGATCATCATATCCCTCAATAAAAGATGCGAACATGATAAATGTATTAAATGAGCTAGAACATATTATAAAAATCATATGAAGTATAGAGGTATACATCTATCCTCTATCGAATCTCACAAAATTTATTATTTTGTGCTAATGATCCTATTATCTCTCTCGATAACAACAAAATTCACAAACAATTCAACTAGTGGCTAATTAATTGAAAAGTATGAAAACGATAATAAATATCTAAACAATTAAACAAATTAACATCAATTGAATTATTCAAATTAAAAATTCATAACAATGGTTCATCACATCCTAGCAAATATGAAAAATGAGCCAACATAATGTTGGAATTAAACAAATCAAGGATAAAAGACATCATCAAAAATTGACGAAACGTAATAAATTTTCCTATGTGTGCGTCGTCTAGTGTCTGCTTTCTCTGTGTGTGCGTCTTTTCCTTTTTTACAATTTTTGACTGCCAACTTGCTTGTATGCGTATATAATCTTTTTAGCCCAATTTTTACTCCAAGAGGGATTCTAATGCACAACAACCACCGCCGTTTCCTATTTTTATATAATTCCAATAGGCAGCTCATTCTATTTCCAGCAAGCAGCTCGTTTTCTCTTCTTTTTCTCTCTGCTTTTTATTGAAAGAATGTATCAATTCAGCCCCAAGCAGCTGCCCAATTTTCTGTTAATTTAATTCCCATAATTCAATTTCAGACGGCTAACTTTTTTGCCTATATTTTTTGACTCCCAGCGACCCGTCTCTTTGTGTGTGTGTATCCCTTGTTTGAACCCCTTTTTCACCAAAATACATTTTTCAACAGTGATTTGACATTATTTTGATCACATATTTTTCAATAAAATAATATTATATGCAAATAAAAAAATTCTTATTTTTTAACCATATATTTTCTATCAATATACTATCCAAAAATTCATTTTCTCTTTCAAAATGGGGCTCAAACAAGGGCATATATTTTAGCAACCAGCAGCCTTCCTTTTTACTCCAGCCAAACTCTCTTTTCTGCTGTCTAATGTGTATATGTATATGATAATCTCCTCTCCTCCAGCATTTGTAAGTATATATATACATATTTAACCTAGCCCACCAAAAAAAAAGTCATAAAATTTCTACTTTGTGACCAAAAAATAATAAGTGACTAACTAAATCGTTAATTTGTGATCAAATTGTACAGATCTATAACTTAAGTATATTTAATTAAATCATAAATAAATTTTAATAAAAATCTTATTTTTGAAATTTGAAATTTGTTTTATTAATTTTGAAATGTGGAATAAAGTTCTTTTCTTTGAAATCCACTCTAATTGCAATTCCATAGCCCAAATAAAATAATATTTTTACCTAGACCTTATCTTTTCAAAATAATGCAATTTAGTCATTGAGTTCTTCAATTTCTGTAGTGTAAACTCTGATCTCCAAACTTTGCATCCAATAGCCAATTTAATTCCCATACTTCGGATTTTGTCATTTTTCGTCATTGTTTGCTTCTTTTCTTCAATTCCTTTTCATTTATAGAGTTTACCTATAAAACATAAAATACGACAATTTAGGATATAATTTGCCAAAAGAATTATCAAATATTGTTATTTTAAGGCCCCGAACAAGTATATAAAATACACTTATCAAACACACTCAAACTTAAACATTTGTTTGTCTTCAAACAAAATTATAATCTAAATAGTAACAAATACACAAGCATGCAAAAATATTTGGTTTGATAGTCTAGCTTTTTATATCGGGGATGGAGATCATCATATTAAATTTACAAACCACTTCAAAATTACAAAATCGAACCAATATCCACTTTTTCAATGCAAGATCGATGTGTGTGTGAAGAATTAAGTAGACATTAATGATCTCACAAGTTGTTCACATTCCCAGCCCTCTATGGTCAAATTTATCCTTACATTCTCTCGTAAGATTCACACACCCCCAAACTTATTCTTTTTTTACTCTTTTCCCAACGTATAATCTAAAGTTGAATTTTTTTATTACCATCATTACCCTCTCCAATTTAGGTGGACGTCACTAGTTGCAAGTAAACACATCAATGAACAAGAATTTTCCAATTATTTGATTACTTCGACCGCCAGTACTCAAGTAAACTAATTATCCTTCATCGAAAGTCAAATTTCCTCAAACAAGTGTTGGGACTTAACAAGGCATTTAGTGCTTTTTTTCCCTTTTTTTTGTTTTTTTGACTCTCCCTTAAACGTTTTAGATGGCCTATGTAGCAAGCTTTAGGCCAATGAGTTACAAGTCAGATGACTTTAGGACACCAGATTTTTGAATACCCTTACAGACTTAATAACCCAAGTCAAAAAGGTTTCGAAGATAATAATTATTATTTTTACTTTCAAGGGCAACTTCATCTCTAATTGCTTTCTAAATTACCCATGTAGCAAACTTTAGGTCGATGACTACCAAACCAAACGACTTTAGGGCATCAAGTTTTAAGATACACTTACAGGCTTAATTGTTCTAATCATAAAGGCTTCAAATAAAACTTTTAAATTTTAAAATATATACCTTGATTAGTACAATGCCCCTTATCATACACATATTCAACGAAACTGACCTCCAACTCAAGACTTTCACCAAAATTTATAATGTTCATCTCAGACAATCCACACAAAAGAGAATTTCTTTTTTTTTTCCACACAAGGAATCCCTGGTCACATCCGCATCTACCTACAATAGTAAAATCACTCTAAACCGTGTTAAATTTGGTCTAAGAATAATTAGTTTAGTATGGTTTAGGTAAAGTTTCTATGTCCAACTACATCGACCTATTAAGAGCATGAAACAACTCATTTCATCACCATGTCAAACTTAATTCTTGTGCGCGTATAATATCAAGTTTTGCAAGTTTAAGTTTCAATCAATCTAGCGTGCAACCTATCCACTATTTATAAATTATTACCTAAACTCAATTTCAAATCAGTATTGTCAGTCAAACTGTCTAAACCAGACAAGCACACAACCTAAATTATCTTATTTTTAAGGAAACACATAAGCACACGAAAACCAAAAGCTCAAAGTTTTTTCACCCCCAAACTTAAAATCAACATTGTCCTTGTAGATATTAGGTTCTGCAGTCAAGAAATCGGATCAACTGGACCACCAGCAATCCTGTGGAACTCAAGAAAAATAGAACAAAGAAAAATGACCGTAAAAAGATCTTAAAAAGACACCGATGTGGTGTCGGCCGAAGACCCTCCGACGGTCAAGTCAGTAAATCTTGTTGACAGTTTGATAAATGCCAGATGGAAGAAAAAAGAAATGAATTAGAGTCTAGTAGATTCTGATACCAGAATGCTTAACCGACTGCTGAATTTATAGGAGTGGAATAACTGTCTAGGAGGGATTGGCGAGGATTCTCCGAGATTTCGTGGTTGGGTAGAGCCAAATTTAATCTGATTTGTTCAGTTGAGATATTAGATCCGTTTGTAGATAACTCTCACCAGATCTGGATAGATCGTAACGTGATCTATCTAGAAGATAGATTATCGGAGATTTCGAATTGACATGTAGGTCATGGATTGTGTATTCGGGTTGATTGTTATAATGAGTATGGTTGATGATGGCGCGATTGAATCGTATGTTGACCATGTTCTATGTTTGGGCCACTTGGACTAGTCAATTAATTTTTACCACTACAGTCCTCAATATCATAAAGTACAAATAAGCACATAACATGGTAGGGAAGAAAAGGAATAACGTACTCCCCAAATTTTTTGTTGAATGTGTGATGACTAGGCAATTTTTTTAATTATGCTTTTTCCTTGGTCTATGTTGGTTTGAGTGTTTCGCGACATCATGTTCTTGCATATAGCGATTCAAATCAAACATTAAAAATCAAATAACTTAGAACTTGTGTTACTTAGCCCAAACAATCAAAGTACCAACAATAAATTCAATGGCATAAGGGGAACATTAAGGATGGTGATACCCTACTAATTGAAATGTGCCTAAATGTAATACAACCTAGTAAACAAAACAAAACTACATTCTATGCAATACAAAAAGTAAAATAAATAATAGGTTAGAAGATTGGGTTGTCTCCCAATCTATGCGATACAAAAAGCAAAATAAATAAAAGGATTAGAAGATTGGGTTGCCT